GTGATCTTTGATAATTTATTTGGTATCTACAAATTTGAGTAATCAAGCTTCTTTTCCAGATTTTGCAGGTTTGCTTTGCAGAGATAGTTATTCACCAGTCAACTCAGTGTGTTTCTGGGTTGCCTCCTGGTAGTGTCCTTAGGCAGGTAGGGCCTGCTGTTGTGGTCTATTTTTTTGGTAGAGGCAAATGTTTAAGCTCTGAGGATGGGAATGAGGGGATGTGCCACTGACTGAGAACTGCTGGCTTGGTCCCCTACCCAAGTGAGGCTGTAGTATGGGCTCCATAGTGCCTTGATTCTCTGATCAAGCTTACTAGATAGGTGGCCAGGACTGGTACTATATTCATTAATAACAGGGTTATGAATTAGCTTCCCTGCCCTAGCAGGGACCCAAGACTGTACAACTTGTTGTTTGGGGACCTGAGTCAGGCTAGAGTGTGCATTGAATTCTCTGGTTCTGTGAGGCCATTCAGTTTTGTTCTGACGATGAGGAAACCCATAGGCTGTGCTCTGTGTTCAAGTGCCACTATATGTAAGGCTATTGATGGGTTCTGCAGCTACCCAGATGCTCTAGTTAGGTTCCTTGCTCAGATAGGCTATAGGTTGTATTCAGTAATGAGGAGGGCTCCAAACTAGATTCCCTGCCTGGGCACCGCAAGAGAAGCAGCTCTAAAGCCAACAAAGCTCGTGGTTTGTTGTTTTAACTCAAGCTGTCCCGCACTCCCAAGTTCCCTGACCAAATGGGACCACTGCCTTTGTTCTGAAAGCTGACAGGTGTGCCTGCCCATCTTTCAGCTCCAGTGCTGCTAGACCAGCAGCACTGGACAGCTAGACAGCTTCCAGGAGTTGATCAGTTGGTACTAAAAGATACTCTACTGTGGATGGGGCTATGCCTCAGCTCCTTGCCTGTACCAGAGAGGGAGGGGTCACTCCAGCTACTTTGAGTTTCCCAAACATCCTTTCAGGTTGAGAGGGGCTGGGAGCTACCCTAACCCTTAGGTGTGAATGAATCCCCCTGCCTGTGCATAGCATGGGGACACTCCACACCCAGTACTGGCTTTGTTCTGGGGGTGTTCCACACTGTCCTCCGACCTCTTGGCTCAAGTGCCATTGGACCTCACTGCTTCTGGGAATTGTCACCAATCCTCTTAGTCAGATGGGGCATGAGAGACACACACACACAGAGAGAGGCAGAGACACAGGCAGAGAAAGAAGCAGGCTCCATGCAGGGACCTTGATGTGGGACTGATACTGGGTCTCCAGGATCACGCCCTGGGCCAAAGTCAGCGCTGAACTGCTGAGCCACCCGGGCTGCCCTCCACAGTGGGTGAGGCTATGATTTACCCCCTTACCTGGGTCTGGGCATCCTTGGCTTTAAGACTGACAGAACTCCTTTCATAAGAACCTAAATCAGGCAGATCTGTACCCACCAAGCTCACTGATGAGTGTGTGACCTCAGCTTGGTTCTACAGATGAGTAAAACTGATGGTTGAGATTACTATTTAGATATTGCAGGTATGAACCTGGTCTGCCAAGATCATATCCTGGTTGTTGCAAACCCCTACCTCTTTATCCATCCTAGTCAGATTCCCAGTAGTTAAGCCTCACAGATCCCCCTGCAGTCCCCATGGTGCTGGTCAGAAGAGGGCCTCCTACAAAGCAACGCACAGTTCTGGGGTTGGGGGCAGGCGTGGTGCTGGCTATCCTCTTGGGTTCTCTTTTCCTGCTAGAGAAACCAGAGGCTTGGAGGAAACTTCTCCATACAGGGTCATGCTGGCTGGGGGTGTCGCAGTGTTGTCAACTTGTAGTCTCTTCTCTTACTCCCCGTGTTCCAGGACTGTCTCAGTGGTGTCTTGTTCTTGAGTAGTTGTCAGTTCTTGTGAGGGCGAGCTAAGTCAGGCACATCCTATGTTGCCATCTTGGTGACTGTGAGCAAATATCCCTCTTTTCATGGCTGTTGCCAAGACTCTTGCTTGTTAGAAGTGCTGTAGACTAACAGCACTACAGAAGCAAAGTGCTTTTTCTCTGTTACAAGGTTTATCTTAAATTTCATCCCAGGCAGTGTGTTTGGAGTCTTAAGGTCTGCTATTTGTTTAAATTTAGTTAATCCATGTGTCCCAAGAACTCTAATCATTGAGGGGATTTTTAAATTTGTATTTAGGAGTGAATTGCATTTTTCTGAGAATATCAGCTGGCAGCTATGAAGAATTAGCAACAACAACAAAAATCATTCCTCTCATAAATTGCCTTTAGAAAATATGTTGTGTTAAGACAGAAATGGGCACTGTTCCCATAGGCCTTAATCTATAAAAAAGTGGTAGAAAACTTTCAAAAATTCACAATTAGCTATCAAAATAATTAAAGCATTGCCTAAAGCAATGCCTATCAGAAGTCTCTATTTCTTTCAAAATAAACAACAATTAAAATCTTGCGTTGGCCTATCAGCCCTCTCCAGCCTTGACCAGCTGCTTTTCTGGCCACCTTCCCTGCTCCTCTCTTTCCCCTTTGCTAACCTGCCCCCACATTGACCTCCGGACTGACCTTCTGAAGCCCCCAGGTAGGTTTTTCTTTCTCGAACATACTTCCCCCAAATACTTGTCTAAATGTCTTCCTTATTTCACCACACTTCTGTTGAAATTTTACTCATAGAGCATTTCTGTTCTCTGTTTTATATTCTTGGCATTATTTTTCTTTGTATCACTTATGACTACCTGAGTTTCTTTTCTTTTTGTCCTTCCTTCTCCTTCTTTTCTCTTCCTTTTCCTCCTCTTCCACCTCTTTTTTAAGTTTCTGACTCCTCGAAAAGGGTAGAAGCTCCATGACAGCAGAGAATTTGTTGTCGTTGTTACTCGCTATGGCATCCTTAATCTCTGGAAGAAGGCATGCAATATTTGTTGAACAAACAGGTCATTACTCTGTGCAGATACTTTTATACGTCACACCCCCAACCAGCTCCTTAATGCTTACACTGCTTTTCTAAGATTATCTGAAGACTCAGTTGGCCATAATCTAACAAATAGTCCAAATTAAACTAGTTCTTTCCGTCCTTTTCATGTCGGAGCATATGATGGTATGGTGTATAAATGTGAAATAATATGTGTGAATACAATAATGCTACACAGTAGTGGAGAAATGAGAAAGGATTTAGAGCTTCGTGGAAATTTTATTTTCTTCATTTTATAAAATTATGATGAAATCTAATATAAAATACTAGAAATAATATTAAGGATTAAATTTATTCTGAAGCTTCCAATAAAATATTTATTCAAAAAATTATAATTGTTAGTACTTCATAGGTCACCTGTAACCCACCTCATTACACATGATGATAGATTCATTGGAGGAACTCTGAGTTAAGAATTTAGTGGGATTTTGTTTTGTTTTTTTGTTTGTTTGTTTGTTTGTTTTGGTTTAGGAAATTACGTACAGTGCAGGTTTGTAAATATTTTTGAAAAAATAGCTAAATCTTTTCAATAGAAAGAGAAATCAAAATAAAAACCTTTTGTTGTGTCATTGGAAAGTGTAGTGCAAATTCTGCCTACCAGATCATGGATTCTTCTTCCCCCTTGGACAGCCTCTGATAGATATATGGGCTAACACCACACTTCACTGAAAACAGCTGGGCTCCCTCCATATTCTCCTACTTCTTAGCACTATGACCCTGGGAAGGTTATTTTACCTCTCTAAGTCTGAGTGGTTTCATTAGCCTATGATGGCAAGGGATTGATCGTTTGATCAGGAGTCAATAATACAAACAATGAGAAAAGGAATAGGAGGGGCTGCCAGCCACCACACCTATCAAAGTAAGAGCAGGATTTCTCATCTGGTACAACAAACCAAAATAATAATAATAATAATAATAATAATAATAATAATGTGACAGCAATAAATGTAAAAATTACAAAAGCCCTTCAGCAGGCTTAATATTCCTTTCAGTGGACCAGAAAATCTCTGGATGTAACAAATAAAACTTCTGAGAGAACCGGACATTGGAAACAAACTAAGCCAGCTGCCAGTTCCCCACGCATACTATCCAGTGATGTCGAGCTGATGATCATACATTTCCCCCAAGTAGTAAGAAATAGAAAACAACTAATGATTTCATTTAATCTGCCTTGCAGTAGGTTGTTCAGCCACAAAGTACTGAAAAAACAGTAAGCAGATGGCCAATCAGACGATAGTTCTCTCTTTGGTTTTAAGTGTGGGCTGCCTTCTCTGTTTGGGAGGGTAGAACTTGAAAATATCTCTTCTCTGTACTCAAGTATCAGCACTTTGAAATCCTAGCCAGGTTGCTGTAAAATTTTCACAAGAATAAACACAATTTGGCACAGATACCAGCACTTTTAAAATTTAGGCATTAGGCCTATTGTTTAATCTGAAATGGATCGTACTACATTTTTAAATGTTTTCTTCAGAAATTACTCTAATAAGAGTCCTGTTTCACACAAATAAGGTAGTTTCACCAAAAATGTTGATGTTTAATAAATTTAATTGCCTCTCAAAAAAATCTATCTTCTTTATTTATTCGTTTTAAGCATCGGATACCTGCCAGACTCTGCTCCAGATAAGTTAATGTTTAAAACAATAGCAGATCCTGTTACTGCTAAAAATTTCACAAGCCAGGAGAAGGCAAACACATGGGGAAACTTTAATTATTATCATTATGTCAAAATGACAAGAAGAAACAAAAATGGGAGGAGAAAATAATATCCTTCTGTCCTGAAGTTACTCCAGGACACCAAGGCTTTAACAGCATTTGCCAACATTGCCACTGATTTTTTTTTTTTTATGATGATTCATTCTTCGCCTTTCATGCCATGGAGACACCCCACTTGTATACCTTGTCTCCAGATGGTGGCAGAGAGGGCCAGCTCCATGGCCTGAGTGCTCACATGGTCCTGATGGAGCGATAGGGAGTCCAAGGTGAGGTTTAGGAGTTACAGTTTTTAATTTCAAAAACAAAAATTGATTTAGTGATTTAATAACTCTTTTTCTTTCTAGGTGCCCTAGCTAAAATTTCACCTCTTTCATCGCCCTGTTCCTCACCTCCCCAAGGGACTCCTGCCAGCAGCCCAGTCAGCAAAATTTCTGCAGTGCAGTTTCCAGAATCTGCCAACACTACTGCCAAACAAAGCCTGGGTTCTCACAGGGCATTAACTTATACTCAGAGTGCCCCTGACCTATCTCCTCAGATCCTCCCTCCACCTGTTATATGTAGCAGGTAAGGATTTTAGATTGTTAACTGAGTTTCACTTGTCCAAAAACTATTATTAGTATTCCTCTTTGGAACACTCACTACCAGTCCACATAGCTCTGTGTAGGTTTGCCAAAGAAACTGACAGGAAAGTAAGTATAGGATAATGTGATTTGTGTTGAATAGAAATTATTTTTTCATGGTTTCCTGTTAATAGAAAGCTTAGAGTCCATACAGCTAATCTTTGGAGATGATATAAAATAAGTAGTTGTATATATCCTCTGCTTACTAGTGGAGAATGCATAAAGCACATAATTAAAAAATCATATCAAGTAATTTAAATATATTATATTGGAATAATTTTTACTTGATCTTCAGGAAGGATCTTATATCAATTTTAAGGGTATTTTAAGTTTGCAATCCCTGTTTACGAATGTATAATAGGGGTCCCTGGCTGCTTCAGTCAGAAGAGCGTGTGACTCTGGATTTTGGGGTTGAGTGTTCGATCCACACATTGGGGGCAGAGATTACTTTAAAATAAAAAGTTTAAAATAAACTAAATAAATAAATAAAATAAAATGCTTAAATAACACATGTCATAGTACGGTTAGATTCAAATGGATGCCTGAATGCAATTAAGCAATTGGCTTGTACTGCTCTATCATTTTTAAATAGAAATAGGACATGAGTCTTTTTACAGTGGATAAGAAAAAAGGCCTCGCGTGGCAAGAGTAGTTATTTTGCCAATATTACCATGAAGAAGGAAATACCTCCTCTTACTGATTACCATACTGTTGTTCTCTAATAATATCTTCATCAATTCTAATAATAGCTTCATCAATTCTAATAATAGCTTCAATCAATTCTAATAGTAGCTTCAATCAATTCTTGAAGAATTGATTTTAAAGCATGATAGTATTCTTTTAACTAGAAGAGTTAAGTGTTTTTTAGCTAAATGTATTCATGAGAGTACTTTGAGCAAAATGCTGTTTCTTTTCTAAGGTTATATACTTAAATGAGTTATATACTGGTTGTCTAATGAGTAAATGAGTTATATACTGGTTGTCTAATATCACCTGTTGGTTCACAGACTTAGATTTGATCATATAGTCAGTTTAAGCTTCACAGATTTCATTTTTAGATCATTTCGTCATAAACTAAATGAATGCTATTTCTTTTTCTAATCTTAGTTTTACTTCTTTTCTCCTCACAAATATTTCTAAAGGGAAAATCACTTTTTTAGTCTATTTGTCCAGTGCCAGAGTAAAAAGTTATTTTACCATCCCAAAGTTCTTCTTTTTCCCTCTCTATGAAAGCTTTTTTTAACGAAATCATTTCTGGAATATTAAGCCCATCTTTCCCCTCATCACACACAAAAAGCACATCTGCGATGAACACTTGTCGTAGGTTTCCTCGGTGATTCACAACACACATCACTTTACTAAAAGCTCTGAGAAGTCCTGCAAAAAGAAAACCTCTTGATTATTGTCTCGGGTGGCATTTTGTGAATTTATCTGACCACAGAACCAATTTCTTTAGGTTAACACAGAGAGTAATTGCCCATGGAAGCTCGCGTGTGGTAGAATGTCCTTAGGAAACATGTTTTTGTGGTATGCATCCTGAGCCAAATTGAAGCTCAGTGGAGTCATTGACATCAAGGACATTTGCTTCCAGCATTTCTAGGGAGACTCTCCCACTGTGGGCTCCAAACTTGTGGGAAATAAGTTGCCTAAAGAAAGCAGAGATGTTCCAAAAAGAACTACCACTCACATAGCTTTTCTCCTCACGGTCTATTTTTTGTAGTCTTAGCAGGAAGAATGCAATGGGATTTTTTTATAAAAGAGGTTTTGGGAGAAAAACAAGAGAATTTCACTGCCTACTTGTTCAGTAATGTTTATAAATCCAGTAGTGTGTCTTTTATTTGTTTGGGCTTTATAAATCTGTAATTCAAACCATGTTCTATTATTGCCTTCAAGGCAGCCACCCATGTAGGCACAGAGAGCTCCAGAAACACACGACTAATTATTGTGGTTTCCCCTGCTGAACTCGAAGGGTTTGGCGTTGAATCCCAGTCTTTTGGCTGCTGTAATGTCTATGCAACAAGCTGTTTTTTTGGCATACGAGGTAGTATATTTGAACTACTAATTTAAGTGTTCCTTTTAAGTATTATCTTGCAATGAAAATTCTTAAAACTAATAAACCCTCCATCTACCAAGTGTCACCCAAGAATGTAAGCCCATCATTTACATCTGCTTTCTTTTTCCTTTGGTCCTGTCATTTTCTTTTGATTCCCTAAATCAAAGTGATGGGATCTCAGAACTATTTTGCATGTGATGTTTCTCCACTTACGTTTAAGCCTTGAGAATAAATTTACTTAGGATGAAAATATTCTATAACTGGAAAATGCTTATCATTATAACATATATATAAGCCACAATTCAGGAAAAAAGAAAGTGATGAGACGTTTATATATTAAATTATAAACCATCTCATTTCTTCTCCTTTTAGAGTGAGTAGTCTGTGGTTAAATAACAAAAACCCTCTGAGACCGTTTGTAATATTAGGCAGAAGAAAAGAACCCAGAAGCAAAAGGCAGAATTAAAATCTAACCCTGGAGTTTCTGAACAAGATAAGTGAGAGAAGAAACTTGCCAGGCCATTTGTGGGGTTGCTTTTTAATTTATAAAGCATTCAAAACTGTTGAGAAAACAAAAACAAAAGTATCCTACATCCTCCAATGCCCTCTGTTAAAGAGCTAGCCAGGACTCTCCAGTACCTTCATTTTTCTAGATTACTCAGAGTATCCCCTCTTGGCCTGTTTTTCTCATTCTGTGCAATTTTCTATTCACTCTCCATCAAAACGTGACTCTACTTTGTTCATTTCCTTTGGGTGTTAGCAGGTGACTGATCAGCCTTAAAAAAGGAATTAATTTTTATTTTGTGGCAAAAAAATAATATATTGCCATTCTCTTTTCACATATGCAATCCTAATGGGCTCTTTGGGAAAAAAAAAAAGTCTTCACCCATAGAAATAAATCTAATAATGAGGTTTTTAGGCAAGTACAAAGGGAATGCATTGGGAAAGATTTTTTTTTTAAGATTTTATTTATTTATTCATAAGAGACACACAGAGAGAGGCAGGGACATAGAGAGAGAAGAAAGCTCCCTCCGGGGAGCCTGAATCGGAACTGGATTCCCAGACCCAGGATCATGACCTGAGTGGAAGGCAGACACTCAACCACTGAGCCACCCAGGTGTCCCTAGGGAAGATATTTATGACTAAATATGCATCAGCACTTCCAAAGTCACTTCTGTAAGCAGGTAGCAGATAATCCCATGATTCTCTAAATAATGTAACAAAATTTTGCCAGTAATTTCAAATGTGGTCTGGACTGTGGAAGAAGATGAGAGTTGAGAGAGAAACTTCTGACCCTTCATGTTGATCACGTTCTCACTAAAAAGAAAACATCCATGAATAAAGCAAAATGAATTTTGCAAATAAGTGGGAGGTAGAAATATTTGATTATTATCTATCTTCATGTGTATATAGATGGTGTATGCCTGTGATTTTTTGAAAAGAGAGAATATACTTACAGCTGTTCCAATATTTCTCAGCTGTGGCAGACCATGTCCCCAAGGGAATCCTGCTGATGGGCCCCTGGAGGGAAGCAGTTCAGCCAGTCGGACACCAAGCAGAACAGGTAATTCTTTGTTTGTATTCTGTTCCTCAAAATGGAAATCACTTTACTTTTTTCCCCCCTCTGATCAGAAAGGTAACGTGTTTCCGATTTTTTAGATCACAATTTTAAAAAGACAGTGAAGAAAAGCAAAATTATCCCTAATCCTACTACCTAAGAGTTAATCATGGGTACAGTTTTTATGCAAAACTGTCCAAAATGGTTTTAAACATCTAATTTAAAAATGTATATATTTTATATACATTTTATCTAATGTATAAAACTGTATAGAAATGTCATTTTTTCTTGGACACTGAAGGGCCATCCATTTTAGGATACTCTCTGGAGATATTCATTGCAGACTGAGAAGTGACCCTGCTTAGATCACTGTAAGCATATAAAAATGGTTTTTCTTGAGGCACTATTATGGAGACGTTAAGAACACAGGCATTGGAGCCTGGTTTTATCCTTACTTGGCTACCTATTAATTTGTAATCTCTGTGCCTCAGTTCCTGCATCTGTAAATGGGGTTAATAATAGTACCTACCAAACAGGATTGTTGTAAGAGTTACTTAACATGTATCAAAAACACGAATTTGGAAAGATATATTCACTTCTATGTTTACTGCAGCATGATTTACTTTAGACAAGATATGGAAGACACCTAATACATGATAGAATACTACTCAGCCATAAAAAAGAATGAAATCTTGCCAGTTGTGATAACATGGATAGACCTGAAGGGTATTATGCTAAGTGAAATAAGTCAGACAGAGGAATACTAATACCCTATGTGTTCATCCATACGTGGAGAGGAAAACAAACAAACAAATTTGTGAAAAATTCATTTGTAGAAGGGAGGAGAGGAAGGGAATGGATGAAACAAGTGAAGGGAATTAAAAGGCACAGACTTTCAGTTATAAAATAAGTAAGTCACGGGGATGAAGGTAGAGCATAGGGAATGTAGTCAAGAATATTGTAATGACTTTGTTAACTACACTTATAAGTATTGCATAATATACATAATTGTTGAATCACTATGTTGTATGCCTGAAACTAATATAATATTGTATGTCAGCTATACTTCAATTTTTAAAAAATCACATAAAACCCTGATAGTATCTGGGTCACTGTAAATACCTCACGTTTGCTGCCATTATTATAATAGTTAGTATTTTACTTTTGTTGATGCAACTGTAAGGACTTGATTTTGTTAGTGCTGAAAGTTCACGAGGTAGAAAAAGCCTAGCTTCTCTGAACTATCAACTTTAAGGTGATAAAGCTTTATAAGAATGATTCCTAATTATCTACTTCAGCATTTATTATTATATACTTAATATTGATTATTTGCCTATGAGAATGGTTACTGTGGCAATGTACAAAGGTCAAGAGATATACACAAGGATAAATCAAAAGGACAATTCTGATAATATAGCATTCTGAAGACTCATAATATTCCCTTCATGTCCCTGATCTTCTTTGACTCTACTGGGTTTGATAGAATATGGGAAGTATTTCCTTATCACCTTTGTGGTCTCACATAGAGCTGTGGCCTTTGAATGTTCTTCATTTTTTCCACAAATTCTGGGATTGAAACTTGTCAATTACATTTTCATACTATGTCTCATTCTTACATACAACAAGTTGCATGAGAAAGATTGAAGAAAGAGGGATCTTTGGAAAAGTCCTACAAGATACACATGGTTACAATAGGCTACATAACAAAAGCCATTCATTCACTAGCAATGTAAGAAAATTAGACAGCAAATGTATGAGTACATACAACAGTCTGAGAATATCCAAAGCAAAAAAAAAAAAAAAAAAATATATATATATATATATATATATATATATATATATATATATATCCAAAGCAATTGAGAAAGGAGAACATAGCTAGGGGCAATACATTATCTGACTTCAAGACTCAAGCTATAATAATCAAGATAGTATGGAGGATCAGCAGATAGATCAAATGGAATAGAACGGAAAGCCCCAATTTAGACCCACATCTGCACTGAATTTTCTTTCTTATTTTTTTTAAGATTTTATTTATTTATTCATGAGAGACCCAGAGAAAGAGAGAGAGGTGGAGACACAGGCAGAGGGAGAAGCAGGCTCCATGCAAGGAGCCAGATGTGGGATTCGATCCTGGGTCTCCAGGATCAGGCCCTGGGCTGAAGGAGGTGCTAAACCGCTGAGCCACCCAGGCTGCCCTACATTGAATTTTCAACAAAGATACCAGAGCATTCCAGTAGGGTTGGAAAAAATGAATTTCACCCCATACTTTACACCATATGAAACATTATTCTGAGATAGAGCATAGACCTAAATGTAGAAGCTAAAACAGTAAAGGCTTCTGGAAGAAAACAGAAGAATATATGTTTGTGACTTAGGGGAAGGCAAAGATTGCTTAGGAATTTAGCAATAACCATAAAAGCAAAAAAAATAAAAATAAAAAATAAATAACAACAACAAAAACCTAGACTTTATCAAAAGTAAAGAATATAGGAACTAGGTAAGATTTCATCAGTTCAAATTCATGTGGTAAAATTTATCTGGTGTGTACCTTCAACAATTTGCTTATCCTTCCTGTGCCTCAGTTTCCTTTCTGCAAGTGAGGATATCAGTAATGCAGTGATGTGCATTACTTGTGCAGGTTTATATGGACTAGCACAAATGAAACACTTTTCATAGTATCCAGAACATGGTACTCATTCAGTAAACCATTCAGGCATTTATTCAATGATAAGAAGCTTCTTTTAAGATCTTTGCCCCTAGAGGCACGTTGGACAGACACTTGATAGTACCCGATTGGGCATCTAGTTAGCATAGTTTAGTGCTGAGTGAAATGGGAGATGGTGGAAGAGGCAGATAAGGAAGAAAACCACAGATTCCTAGAGATCAAGATTGGATACATAAGATCTCCCAGGCTCTTAAGCACGTGCTATTGTGCCATGTCCTATAGACCACTTTGTGCATGGGTGTCAACTCCACTTCTCCTACCCATGTGCCCATTCTAGATTTAGTGTTTTAATTAGCTACTCGGTGGTTTCATGTGTTGTGGGATGCATAAAGGAGAAAGAAACATAAAGTTACAGGATTTTTAAAAAGTGTAACTACTACAGAACTAAGCATTATGACTGAGGAATTATTCAATGTCACATGAATCACTGATCAGCATAATTATGTCCACTTCATTGGATTAAAAAAAAGTCTACTTTTTCCCACTTTACAATCTTACATTCTTGGTGTATAAGCTCATGAAAGCAGTATGTCCCTAAGCACAGTATTTGGCATATGCATTTTAGGAATATTCACTCTAATGGGACCCCGTCTTCCATTTGCAAGTTTCATAAGAAGCTGTTCTCTTTCAATTGCAGATGACACTACTCAAGTTACCTCTGATTATGAAACCAATAACAACAGTGATAGCAGTGATATTGTACAGAATGAAGATGAGACAGAGTGCCTGAGAGAGCCTCTACGGAAAGCTTCCACTTGTGGAACATACACGCCTGAGACCATGATATTCCTGGTAGCGCCATATCACTTTCCTCATTTATTTACTTCAGAAATTCTTAACTTGACTTAAAAAAAATCGATCCCTGAATCATTAGATTTACAGATGTATCTCTTTTGGGTCACACATCTCTAATACCCATACCCATATGAACCAGTATAATTTTTCCTTATCCAGATTTTATTGATCTCTTCACAATTCTCTTATTTAATGATTAAAAGCACAAGTATTCATCACCACAAGTGATTACAGATATTTCTTAATCCTAGAATCTAAAAGTGTAAGTATGCATAGGAAAAGAATATTTCATCCAGTGAAGCAATATTTTATAAATATTAATCAATAAAAGTGAAATATGTTAGTTGTCTTAGGGCTTCTGCTGGGGTTTTTTTCCTACCACCTCGTTCATTTAGAAAATGTGCCAATACTTATTTTCTTATTATATTAAACTAGGTTTATACTGACACTTAGTATCCATTAAAATATCCTTTAATGAGAGCTTACTTTGTGTGTTTATAGAGATCCATTTAAAGAGAATAAAAGTGTATATTTGAATCAGGTTAATTTCAGGGAGGTAGCAAATAGAAAATAGTTGGCTGTTGTGTAATTATCAATTGCTGCTATTATCATTTTTCTCTTATCTGATTTACCACTTACACTTTTAAAGAGATTGCCAGATAAAGTAATTGGTAGGTTTCTAATCCTCATTATCTTTATTTATTTTATTTAATTTATTTTTTGGTAAATGTATTCTTAAGAATGTCCTCTTTGGAACTAATTATAAAATGTCTTTATGTTAATATGGCACATGTTTCTTTGGAAGCCATACATCACATGAGTTTCAAAATTAAAATCTATGAAAAATGTGGCAATTATCATCCCACAGGATTAATGCTGATTTTGAAGCAATAATATAAATTTGGCTGAGCAGGGAATGATTAACTCCTCCCCACTCCTGGGTTTCTTTTGAGAGTCCAGTATAAGCCAGGAGCTCTCCCAGAAAACTTTACATAAACATATAAAGAGATAAATTTACATACGATTTCAGAATATCCTTAAGTCCTTGAACCTTTAAGAACCCCACAGTACGCGAAAAGCAGTTATATTAACCTATGAAAGAAACATGTATTTTTTTTTTCTTTTTTTTTTTTTCTTTTTTTTTTTTTTTAATTTTTTTATTTATTTATGATAGGCACACAGTGAGAGAGAGAGAGGCAGAGACACAGGCAGAGGGAGAAGCAGGCTCCATGCACCGGGAGCCCGACGTGGGATTCGATCCCGGGTCTCCAGGATCGCGCCCTGGGCCAAAGGCAGGCGCCAAACCGCTGCGCCACCCAGGGATCCCTGTATTTTTTTTTCTGTAGCATATATGAACCAACAATAGGCAGGCACTTAATAAGTTAAATTCATCATATGAAGCACCATTAGGACATTTTCGCCTTACTTTGGGATCAATGTCTTGTTTGTCTTGATTTTTTTTTTTTTTTTAAGATCTCTTATTTACCCTGAGGTTTTAAGTCATTTGTTTTTGTAAACTCAGCTATTGAATTGGGCTTACCAAAGCACAAATTGCTTTGTAGAAAAACTGTATGTTCTTAAAATGTTTTCATCTTCATTTCTAGGACAAGCCAATTCTTGCTCCTGAACCTCTTGTCATGGATAACTTGGACTCAATTATGGAGCAGTTAAATACTTGGAATTTTCCAATTTTTGATTTGGTGGAAAAAATAGGAAGAAAATGTGGCCGTATTCTAAGTCAGGTAAGAAATGCATTCATACATATGACGTTAAATGTAGAAAAAAATTCCTTGGTTGGTTGGTTAAAGCTGTGTTCATGCTTGACACTGGTGGTGGATATTGGATGGAGAAAGGAAATTTTAGTACCCAACATTCTGTAGATTCCTTGGTGGTGGATTAACAAAAGGAATTGGAACTTCAAGTGAGTGGAATACCATTATTATGCAATTAAAATATGTAATTTTTAAGACAAAGTGGAAGAGAGCAAGGATACACAAGCAAGATGGAGAAATACATCTGAAATTTATAGAATTCAGCAAAAGAAAAGTAGATACAGGCTCTCAAAAGAAGAAAGTTGCCTAATTATAATTAGTAATTTATTGTGTAAAATTTTTTCTGTTTTTTAAACCTTTTTTTTTTTTTTTTAGGGAGGGAGGGGCAGTGGATGAGGAAGAAACAATCTTAAGAAGGTTCCACACCCAATTCAGAGCCCAGTGTGGGGCTTGATCTCATGACCCTGAGATCATGACCTGAGCCAAAAGAGCCAAACACTTAACCAACTGAGCCCTTAAAACTTCTGAATATTACAGTGCTTAGGTCTTATCAAGAGTAAGATATCGTGCAGAAATACATTTCCTTCCATTGCTGTAGAAACATATCTGTGTTTTAATATAGAAAACACCTTTAAGTATCACAAGAAGTATAGAATATGATCTGTTGCTACTTAACAAGACTTTTTGTATTTTTTCCTTAAACCAGACTTACTTTCAAGGCTTCCCACATTAAAAAAAAAAAAAAAAAAAAAAAAAAAAAAGTTTCCCTGAGGGAGAAAGAAAACACAGAAATTAAGAAGTTGAACATGTTTGTTCTTAATAAATAAGACACTGAATTTGATCTATTATCAAACACCTATCAGAATACATACTCAATTAAGGAGGATTATGTAATAATACTTGTCAGCTTATTTAAAAATGTTTCAGGGGTGTTTTCATAGATGGAATAAATATCACTGCAGAGATACTAAAGACCACCAAACTTACATAAGACTTAGGTGAGAATTCAAGACCCAGATTAATTGGAGCAATGAACACCTCCCTGGAGAACACCAGAAGAGAAATCACGTATTGTACTTATTTCTACTTGGTGCATCAGGAGAGATAGGCTTTCTTCAGACATCTCAACAAGTCTCGGAGTGTGGGGCTTCAGGGTGAGGATTTCTGATGCATGAAGGTTTGAAGGTAAAGGACAAAAGGGACTTTTCCTCTGTTTTTCAGTTCTACAAACACAAAGTACTAGTGTTCCAGAAGAAAAGTTATGTTCCTGCCTTATAGGGACTAGTAGGGAAATTAGATATGGGTCAAAGTCATGACAATTCAACTTGCTACATACAAAAGAAATGTGCTAAGATGATTGATGGACAATGAAATTCAAAATGATGACAGTCTATGTAGCATATAGTTGCCTCTGCTAGATTTTCTTCCGACCACAAACACCTTGAGGACTGGAATGATAGCCCTTGCACTTTTACTAGGAGTTAATGGTCCCCTCTTTCCTCCTTTAACTTCTCCTCAGTTCTAAGCAACATCTTTTAAAATATATTTTTTAAGATTTTGTTTATTTATTCATGAGAGACACACGGAGAGAGGCAGAGACATAGGCAGAAGGAGAAGCAGGCTCTCTGCAAGGAACCTTAATGTGGAACTCAATCCCAGGAACCTGGGATCACAACCTGAGCCAAAGGCAGACACTTAACCACTGAACCACCCAGGTGCCCCTAAAATGGTTTTTTCAAGATTTATTTTTTGTTAGAGAGTGCAAGTAAGCAAGGAAGGGGAGAGACAGAGGGAGAGAGAAACTCAAGTGGATTGTGCTGTGCACAGAGCCAGACTCAGAGTTTGATCTCCCAGCCCTGAGATTAGGACCTGAGCCAAAACCAAGAGTTGGACACTTAACCAACTGCGCCACCCAGGGGCCTTGAAGACAGGTATAATGACAACTATTTTTATCCAGTCTACCTTAGTCTCACACCTCAGGGCTCCTCCTGGGAGGTTTTATATCCCACTTTCTGAAACTCCTTGTAGACTATGTCTCTGAGGGAGTGATTTTACATGAAAATATTTCTGTAATGGTGCCCTGGAAGAAGAGGTGGCAGTGGGCCAGGAAGACTTCTTTTTTATTCTTTTTTATTCACTGCAGAGTGTGGTTCCTATAAAGAGAAAAATTTCACATGTTCTGTATTTAATCCGTAGATCACAGACCTCCCCTCCACAAGCTCTGTGACTTAATCTCCTCAGTAACTTTGATGCAAATAATGTGTCTAATCTCTGTTCTTCAGAAGAAGAAACTATAGCTTAAAAGAGCCTATACCATTTATCTGAAGTCATAGGGTAGATTTTAGACATATGATTTGAATGCAGATGTAGCCATATCAGAAATCCATACTTGTAGCCTTTATTTACCTTCAGCAGTTTCTCAGCACGCCCATAAAACCCATTGACTTATTCTGTCTTCAAACACTCTGAACAGAGAGCTGGAGCCAGTAGAAAAGCGGTTATTCTAACAGCTTTTTAGCACTAGTGACAAAATAGCAAATACTATATTTGCTATACTAATACAAGTCCCTCTATACCTAGTTCCCCTTGAAGTTCTGGGAGCTGGGGGTGACACTTGACCAGCTTTGCCACAAAATATTTTTAAGAGTCCTGGATAGGAGTACAGAGCAGAAAGATGAGATATAATGAACAATTAGATTGCAATAAAATTCACTAATGTGTTTTTCTTCCAGTCACCTTCCAGAAAGAAATACATAGCTACATGAGCCTTAGTATGTCACTGTTTATCTTTCCAATTTACAAAACATTGAACTTTGAGAAAATGCAGTTTTATTTGTCTTGCTGAGTAGAACTTTATGGGTTTTCTCTTTGATTTAAGTTTATAAGCACAAAATCATGACATTTTCACTGTGTGAAAGGCATACTTTTTTCACCTTTAGTAAGACTGTGGGACAGCTGAAATGAATTAACTTGAACATTCCGAGAAATCACCTTTTGGCTGAAACTACACAGAAAAAGTCCTACTTCAAAAGATTTTTAAAGAGACATATGTGCAATGGAAATGACTTTTCAGTCTCAGTATACTGACTGCCTTCTTGATGATTATCATGTTTATTTTAACAAATTTTAAAGGACATGGTTCAAGTTTGGAAATAGTACTTACTTTTTCCAATTACCAATATTTACCGGATTAATGGTATCTTTGTGAGTTTAAGTTATTGGTGGTTGATTCTTTAACAGCATGTTGGTGAAAATTCTCCTATTTTAAAATCATACTCTAAAATATCCTGTTGTCTTAATCTTTTACGTGTTTAAGGTAATAGTAGAAGAAAACCTCAGTTATTTACAATCCTAACAACATTGCTTTTCAAATACTAGTGGTACAATTTGCAGCAGTTTAGAGTACAAAATCTGAAGCCAAAAGGCTTGGCTTGAATTCTGGTTCTGATAATGTTGTCAGATGTGTGATCTTGGACAAGTCACTGAAGTAATATGCATAGTTAAATCCATTAGGTATTTATAAACAAAAACTCAAATATAGACCAAAGCAGTAGTAAATAGGAGATAACAACAACAACAACAAAGAAAACCTAGCTTGAAATATTACAGAAATCATAAACTTCACTTTCTGTTGCCTTTGGAGGGAGGGTGTTTGTGGGGCGAGGGAGAGAAGAAGAGAAAAGGAAAGAATCTCAAGCAAACTCCATGCCCAGTACAAGCCCAATGCTGGGCTCAGTCTCACAACCTTTAGATTATGACCTTAGAAAATCAAGAGTCTGATGCTTAACCAACCGAAACACTCAGGTGCCCCTGTTGCATTTTTAAAGGGAGGAGATAGGCATTATATGTTATGCACAAAAAGGACAAAATTTAAATGTACTTGCCATTCAGAGTGAAGATAAGCATTGAGAAGTTAATGTACACAATATAGAATCTGTTCCCAACTTAACTACGGTAATCCTTTTAAAATATAAGTCAGACGGGGTGCCTGGGTGGCTCAGGTCATGATCCCAGGGTTCTGGAATGGAGTGCTGCATCCACTCCATGCTTAGTAGAGGTTCTGCTTCTCCCTCTCACTCTGCCCCTCCCCCTGCTCAGATTCCTTCTCTCTCTTTCAAGTAAATAAAATCTTAAAAAAAGAAAAAAATAAGTCAAAGTCACTTCCCTACTCCAGTCACTACCTCCAGTCAGTGGCTCTCTACCTCAGATAAAAAATATTATAATGATCAGTCTGGCTATCAAACCCCAAGATTACACGGTGCCTCATTCCACTTTGCCATTGCTAACTTAAATTCTACTCCTGTCCTCATTCATTCTGAAAGCCGAGCTGGCTTATTTGCTATTTCTTGAGTACAGCAGGCATACCTCAGGGCCTTTGCACAGGCCTTTTTTCCTGTATAGAAAATTTTGTTCTTAGATATCCATGTACCTCAGTCTATGTCTCCTTCACTTCTTTGCTCAAATGTCACCTGGATATGCCTACTCTAACCACCATACCTAAAAAAGCAAATTCTATACCTTCCCTATCCAGTCCTCCATGCTTGTTCTCCTTTTTCTATATTACTTACTACTTTCTTTTTTTTTAAAGATTTTATTTATTTACTCATAAGAGACTGTGGAGAGAGAGAGAGAGAGAGAGAGAGACAGAGACACAGACAGAGGGAGAAGCAGGCTCCATGCAGGGAGCCTGATGTGGGACTCGATCCTGGGTCTCCAGGATCAGGTCCTCGGCTGAAGGCGGCGCTAAACTGCTGAGCCACCCGGGCTGCCCCTACTTACTACTTTCTATCATAGTGTATACTTTACTTATTATATCTGTTGTTTACTGCCCTCCCCTGCTAAATAGACTATGAGCTCTCTGAAGGAAGAGATCTTTGTTTTGTTCGTCTGCATATATGCCTCATATGCAGAAGAGTATCTGGCATGTGGTGGGCACTCAATAAATGTATACTGAATGAATAATTTTTTGGTTATTCAGCCTAAATAGGTAAACTGAGGCAAGCTCAAAATTGTCAGAAGGATGAGTATATTCAGGAATAGCAGAGGAAGTACAATTTAGGATGTGCAAACTGTAGTTGCGCTCACTACAGTGAGTCTCCTGAGGGTTTGGGGTATTATGGGCAGGGATTGTATAGAGGGGTAGTTCAGTTAGAGTCAATTAAAATCAAAAACAAATGGAGACCAGGTTTGAAATTGCTTGAGTAGACAAAACCAGTGCAGTCATACAAGCAAAGCTCAAGTCAGCTTATTTTGCCAGACCAGACCAATCTGGATTATTCCTTGTTCATGCCTCTGGAAACTATAAGTACAACTTCCTTAGGTTGATACAAAGCAACTCCTGATCAACTCCATACCATTTAAGAAAATTCCAATGTTACTACTTTTCTAAAAATTGGTCATTTATAGGAAATCAGTCTCTCGGACCTTGAATTTTGTTTTTCTGAGGGCACGTGCATGAGATTTTTTTGTTTCATCTCCTCCAGTTTCATTTTAGATTGAAATTCCATTATAGTTTTATATAGAGAGAGGCATAATACGTAGACATAACATATAGACATATAGTTTTATATCATATATAGACATATATGATAAACACTGAGTACATAATTAAAGGAATATTATTGAATTTAAATAGATTTAAAGTCAGTAACAAAACATAGAAATTTAGCTAAGAAACAGCATACAACAGATTGAGAAGAAATATTTCAAGACAACTTTAAGAAGAGATGCAGATAACAAAAATGATGAGGGCAGCCCAGGTGCCTCAGCAGTTTAGCGCCGCCTTCAGCCCAGGGCCTGATCCTGAGAACCCAGGATCGAGTCCCTTGTTGGGCTCCCTGCATGGAGCCTGCTTCTCCCTCTGCCTGTGTCTCTGCCTCTCTCTCTCTCTCTCTGTCTGTCTCTCATGAATAAATAAATAAAATCTTTTTTAAAAAAATGACGAGCAGTTCTTTCTTAAAGTCTCCTGAGTTCTAACCAACACTGTGCCTTTGTGACTTGCTGTAAGGCCACTTGAAATGGGTGCTGCACTCGGTTCTGCCATGTGAATAACCATTCCCCTTCCCATTACCTTCTTCGGTGCCTTTATCACTTTTTTCTCCTTCATTTGCATGTCAAATACACCAACTACGTAGGTAGATATTCACTGGATTTGGGTCGCTAGAGCTGTGAATGCAATTGGAAGGAGAATAAATATTTGGAAGAGAAAGAGAAAACAGGGAAGGAAGAAATAATTTAGATGTTATTTATACTGCATAAGAATAAATCAGTTTTTTCTATGTATTTAGTCCAAGTAACCGTTTTTCTCTCTCTCATTCTTTCCCCTTATCCTTCACTAAGTTACAGCTCCGAATCCCTTATCTTCTGGAAAGATTAAAAAAAAAATTAATCCAAATTAAAGCTTTCTCTCATTTGTTAGTGATTATAGTATGTCTATACAATGAACGCTTTAATAAGTAGGATTCTCTAGTAATTGATATCACACACAGTTAAGTGCCTTGACATGTTTCTCTAATGTATACTGTTGTTTAGGTTGGTTGTTTCCTTGGTTGTATGTCCCCATCTTTAAAAACAGATTAAATACCCCTTATGGTCAGGGGCTATAGGGGCTAGGCACATAGAGTTCTTCAATACTCACTTGACTTCTTGTTCCCAATAAGTGTGTCCTTGCTGGCCAGGAATTTTTTGTTTTAATTTTTTTTCTTTTTTGTGTCTAATACACACAGGGATGTTTTATAAAGCTTTGCCTTTCTCTTTATAGGTATCATACAGACTTTTTGAAGACATGGGTCTCTTCGAAGCTTTCAAAATTCCAGTTAGAGAATTTATGAATTATTTTCATGCTTTGGAGATTGGATACAGGGAAATTCCTTGTAAGTATAAGTTATCTGTGAAATAATGCTTTTCAAATTTGCCGAATTTGCAATGGGTAATGGGTTATTGAATCATTGGCAGCTAGCAGAGGACTACATATAGTAAACACTGGATGTGGCCACATGGTACAGTGATTACAAGGTTATAGCCTGTTTCAGAATCCCGGATCCTTCACTTCTCTGCTGTCAATGACCATAGTCTTACTTCACCTCTGCATGCCTCATTTCTTAATCTGTAAAATGGGGCTCATAATATCAGCTTCATAGGATTGTTATGAGGATAAAATGTGGTAATAAATCTAAAGGGGTTATAATAGTGCCTTCATGTAGTAAGCCAGTTTAAGTGTGTGCTTTATAAATAATGAAATGTTAAATTTATTACTCATTTTATAATATACTCTTCTTATTGGGTGAATTCAACTTTTGTTCTGGCAACTGCAGAGTTAAATCATGAGCTCTTGACATGTTTTCAATATAAGAAAAACCTGGCTGGGGTAGAGGGACAGGTGCATAATAGTCTAATAATAAAATGGAACAAAAGAGGCACCTTAAAGTGATTGTGAAGAAATTATTGGAAACATTTTAAAAATCAGATAAATGTGAAGACCAAAGGAAGAGATACAACCAAGTCTTCAAGTTTATGAACTTTAAATATTATGAGAATAATTTTATTTATAATAATGCAAAGTTTAAACAGAGAGGAGATGTTAAATTTTGAATATGGAGCATTTCTGGTATCATCTGAATATGAGAGTAAAATCACCATACATGCTAAAAAAATATATAGAACTGAAGAAAATGTGCAAAAATCAGGGAATGCAGGGAAGGGAAGTTGTGGAAAATGTGCAGAAATCATGGGGTATTTTTAAAAAATAAATGCATAGCAAGAGAAGTAGCCAGATGTCATACATTGATTGAAGCATGCCTTAAATACGTGTCGTTCAAATCATGTTTTAAGTTATAAATTTGCTTTTATACACCTTAGGGGAGGTGTATCTCCCATGAGGGAGATAGCAAAGTACAGATATTTCCAGAAAGGAGTTGTACAGTGATCCATTATTAACATTGTTTTTCAAAGTGGCATTCACATGCTACATGAGAATGAAAATACACAGCTGATAGTGTGTGATAGGAGAAAAGAACGAAGAATTGGATCTACAAATGAGATTTGTTGGAGAATATGGGACCAAAATGCAGACAAGACAAGACAGTGGGTGTAGAGGAGAAAGGAGCTTAAGAGTACTGGGTCTCTTGGAAAAGTCTGGGGCAGCCCAGGTGGCTCCGTGGTTTAGCGCCACCTTCAGCCCAGGGTGTGATCGTGGAGACTCAGGATCAAGTCCCGCATCAGGCTTCCTGCATGGAGCCTGCTTCTCCCTCTGCCTGTGTCTCTGCCTCTCTCTCTCTCTCTCTCTCTCTCTCTCTGTCTCTCATGAATAAATAAAAAAAATCTTTAAAAAAAAAGAAAAAAGAAAAGTCTGGCCAGTAGGGCCAAGGAAATTGACAGAGAAGTGAAAAAGGGGTAGTTTGAAAGAATCTCAAACAAGCCTTGCTTTCTTAATACCATTTTCCCAGGGCACACCCTGGTTGGATGCCAGTGATTCACATAAGTGTTACTGATTTTTCAACAGCTAGTCATCAGACTAAATTTACAAATTGTTATATTTCCAAATGTATTTCAGTGACATGATCAGCTATAGCCAAGTCCATTAAGTACCAATTGATATAATAACTACTAACTTTTCTCTAGGCAGTATGTCATAAAATCATAGGGAAAGTTGATCAGTACTTAAGTGTAAAAAGAAGTTTCCAGTTTCTAAATTTTATTCTTCATTTTTATATTTTCTTATTTTACAACCGAATAGATTTTTTTTTCTGAAATAGTGGGTTCTTCATTCCATGTGAAAATAATTTGTTACAATAAACCTGCTTGCTCTCTTAGGAACCCTAGACACTTTCTTGTATAGGGAATTCATTTATATCTTCTCACAGAAAAGTTTTAGCTTGACTGGTGATCCCTTTTTAGTGATTTTTGCATGTGGTAGTGTTATAACTTCAGATTAATTTAGATATTTATTAAAAGCTTTGTTTATCATCAATTATAGTTATCTTATACAAAAATTTGTTGTATGTATCCTTACTTTAATATCTACTCCTAGAGAACTATATTTCTAATAGCTGTGTCTAAATAAACCCATACCTAAATGAAAAAGCCCAAAATGGGATTAACTTTAATATGACAATGACCTAAAATACTAGAAACTAAACTTTATTATACTTTTAAGCACACTTTTAACAATTTTTAAGAGAAGAGGAAAATATAACAGCTTTTAAATTTTTACCCAGAACCCTTACTAAAATTTGAAGAATCTAGATTTAAAAATAGACACATTTGTAGGTAGGTAGATATTTCATGGAATAGCAGTGGGATGAGGTATAAATATAGGCAATTCACTGATAAAGATATGATGCCGACTATATATTTGTTCAATAAAGATTAGGATAAATTAAGGTATAATTGATACCCAGTTGCCTAGAGAAATAAATAATGTTCATTGTCGTTCACAGTCCCTTTCAATTGGGCATATTGGCAAGTAAAGAAGATAAATCATCAGGTCCTGTTCATTCATTAATTCAAAGTTAGTTTTGAGAATGCTTCTTCTATTTTCAGAGACTTTCATCTCTAAAATATATTCTTCCTAAAATCATTCATTCTTGTTATTGAAGTTGGAGAAATGAAGAGAATGGCAGTGATGAGAATAATTTTGTTCCGTGTTTAGTTCAGTTCAATTAAGCTATATGTCATGTGCCCACCAGTTTTTAAACTAGACACCGAGGTGGCATGGGACAAGCTAGAAAGGCAAAACTATTTTAGTATTTACTATATTCCAAAGGCAAAAAGTGTTTAAAGTGTCACTTCTCTCTAATACTTTTCCAAAGGAGTATAGACAGAATTTAAATTGAAAATCTAAATCTATAGGGCGAAAAATTTTACATTTAACTCCAGCCCTCCTTCCTTGCTAGCTCACTTCAACTCTGTTCTTGAGGGAAAAGAAGGTTGAGAAAACAAGTGTATTAAGACAGAAAAGGGAGATGGGTAGACTGTGGGAATGAGATGAGGCATGTTATGTGTGTGTGTGTGTGTGTGTGTGTGTTGACAGAGGGGCAGAAGGGCAGAGAGCCTTGCCAGATGGGTGAAAAACTATCAAAAGAGTTGGGGGTTTGTCCAAAATGCAGAGATGAAGGAAGAGGGATGATAATAATAAAGATAGCTCTGATACCATTCCTTCTCCCTCTCAGGTGCCTACTGTGGCTATGAGAAGAGGAATTTTTAAGCATATATTTGTGTAGGGAAATAAGCAGCATCCACCTGCCTTCCTTCTGTGTGCCACTAACACCAAAAATGTTGGTTTTTTTCTGGGGCACCTGGGTGGCTCAGTTGGTTAAGCGTCTGCCTTCAGTTCGGGTCTTGATTCAAGGATCCTGGGAAGGAGCCCTGATCCGGCTCTACTCTCAGTGGGGAGTCTGCTCCCTCTGCCTGTCCCTGCCCCCACTCGTGTCTTTCTCTCTCTTTCTCAAATAAACAAATAAAATCTTTTTTTAAAAAAATCTTAGATTTTTTTCTTTCTTCCCTGACCAGAGAGACCAGATGTTCTCTCCAATTCCCATTATCATTATCACTGTTTTCTCTTTTCTCTTTCTCTGTTCAGTATTATTCAGAGATGTAATCTACTATATTGGAAGAGATTGTATTATGTAGTTGGTTATTGGAAATAGAGTATGTAAAGTTAGCATGCTTAAGTATAGCAATCAATGAAATATTGTGAAGGTCCAGTAAACAAAAAAGCTTGAAAGAATTGCACCAGGAAAAGGTGAGCCAAGAACGCACCAGGCCGTTAGTCATAGTTCAATAGAAGCTGAACTTCATGTATAAAATAGACCCTCTTCCCATGATAATGATGTTGTAACTAGAAGATTTGGTTTTCCCATAGATTTTGCTCTTCTGAGTGATCCAACTCCTACATTAATGTGCAAGGAAGTTTTTATTTTTCTCTTCAGATACTTCCTAGAGCTGTATTGCCATATTAGAATTTTTAGATAAGAGAACATCATTGATTGTGGCTTTCAATTCTGCTTTATGAATTTAACATATATGTATATAATTATTATTTTTTACCAGTGTTTTAAGTTGGATATAAAAGAATAGTACTATGTTTCATTCACAGAATATATTTGCATGCTATTACCAGATATGAAATATTGAGTGGTATAGACCATTGGTCTGACCTAGTTGAAGTATGTCATGGGTCTTTCTTTATTCTGGTCCTCTGCATAATCTTATACAGGGGCATGGAAATAAGTATAAGGATAAACATCACAGTGATTGCACATAGTGAGCTTTTTTTTTTTTTAAGATTTTATTTATTTATTCATGGAGATGCAGAGAGAGAGAGGGGCAGAGACACAGGCAGAGGGAGAAGCAGGCTCCACACAGAGAGCCTGATGTGGGACTCCATCCAGGGTCTCCAGGATCACGCCTTTGGCTGCAGGCGGCGCTAAACCGCTGCGCCATCAGGGCTGCCCCATAGTGAGCTTTCTATGGATGTTAGGTTTCTGGTAGATTCTGGACAGATTTTTTTTCCCTTCAGACATCTGCATGCATAATGAACATTATGTGTGCTTCCCACCCCCCACCCCTGGTAACTATGAATATTATGGAGTCATGGAAGAGTAATCAAAGAGCATTTATCCTAGAAAGTTTGGCTGCCTTTCACTGGGGTATTAAAATATTAAGACTAAACTCTTTATCCAGTAGATGGCACTCTTAGTCCTTGGACCCCAAAGTTCACAAATTAATGACTTTTCCTTTGCATTGGTTACAGATCATAACAGAATTCATGCCACTGATGTTTTACATGCTGTTTGGTATCTTACTACACAACCTATTCCGGGCCACTCAACTGTGATTAATGATCATGGATCAACAAGTGATTCAGGTACGTATTAAGTACATCTGTGCTCCCTTGTTAACTGGTGGGAAAGGTTGGGAGGAGAAGCATTTCTTTAAAAAAGGAGGTCAAAACAAATAGTATCAGTTTAATACTTTTAAATTTTTCTATTTAATTTTCTCTTCTCAGACTCTGACAGTGGATTTACACATGGACATATGGGATATGTATTCTCAAAAATGTATAATGTACCTGATGATAAATACGGATGTCTATCTGGAAATATCCCTGCTTTAGAGTTAATGGCACTGTATGTGGCTGCAGCCATGCATGATTATGATCACCCAGGAAGGACTAATGCTTTCCTGGTTGCAACTAGTGCTCCTCAGGTAAATCTTTCAATTTTGATTAGAAGAAAGAATTCTATTTAGAGATTTTTCCAAAGAAAATTAATTTTCTAAGTTTGACTTACAGTGGGGACCAAATGAATATGAGCCAAACTATATTTAGCCCTAGGGCAGAATTCTTAGAGACCAAGCTAATTTTGAAAAGATACCGTGTTTGTTCCAGGATATTAATGGCAGCTATGCAACTTTATTACCCATGGGAATCCCTTCTCAGTTTTCTTCTTAAGAAGAAAAACTAGTTGAATCCATATTAATGAACCTTCTCAACAAAGAAAATCCAACCTATACAAAAGTGCCTTTTGAAACTATTAAAGAACCAGATCTTTCTTGAACTTTTAATTTTGCAAGTCGTCTTTGTATATAAATCCCATTCCTTTGAAGTATATTCATCATAACAACTGTGATTCTTATGACATTTCTATTGGTTAGTAGGATTTAAGCATCAATTTATTTCACTCATTTGAGGGAATTTTTTTTTTACCTAAATATAGTATTCCAAAAACAATAACTTTTAAGAAGTCCATTTCCTTATATACTTCAATTTAGGTCAAAAATTAATCACTGAGTATATCAGACCTCCATCTATACAATGAAATTCAGTAAGTTTCTCCTTGATTTAATTAGTTGGTTCTGTGTTGCTAAGTATTCTGAGATCCTGTTTTTCTTTCTAAGTGATCTAGAAGTCAAATCTCATACGTTTTTTTCTTATTTTTTTGTCTTTTACCCATTTCTCATCCATTTCCACCTGTTGTAGAGACTAGAATTTTCTTCTAATCTATATGCAATAAAAATATCCTGATTTTTTTTCTTCCCTGACCACCTACTTTAACTTATTTCTGCATAGCCTCATATAGCGGAATTATTTTCCCTAAAAATGGGCAAATCATTTTGTCAGCACTATTTATCATTCATATTTTCCTACACATTGTGTGCATTTTTACTTAGTTCAGTTTAAGTTTTCATGTGCCTTGTCTTTCTTTTTTATCCTTCTTTCTTTTTTCCCTGTATTGTCTATCTACCACACTAGTCTTCAAGCGATGTTTAGGTAACTTCCTCTTGTTTTGCGGTATCCCTCAGCATTATTCGGGAATTCCAAGCAAGTATATATTTATTATATACCTTTGATTACTAGTTGAAGGGTGAAATCTTCTCTGGCTGCTTGTAGGGTGAGAATGTTTTAAATTATAAGCTCCAGGTATCCCTGGGTGTCTCAGTGGTTTAGCGCCTACCTTCGGCCCAGGGCATGATCCTGGAGTCCTGGGATCCAGTCCCACATCAGGCTCCCTGCATGGAGTCTGCTTCTCTCTCTGCCTGTGTCTCTGCCTCTCTCTCTCTCTCTGTGTATGTCTCGCATTAATAAATAAATAAAATTTTAAAAAATAATAAAATAAAAATAAATGATAAGCTCCTCAGGGAGTCCATTCATATTTATTAGTTATATGTGCTTAAGAATCAGTCTTACTCTAGATGCAGAAAGTAACTGAGTTACCTCCTAGGGATTTTCATGCATTTTCATTTTTTAATAGTTAAATTCCTGTGCAAAGAAATTTGATAAAAGCTAGCTCTAAACCCCTCATTTGCAGGAGTTTGAAATAAACTTTCAGGGAAATGGACTTCATCTTACAAAAAAAGGAAATTTTAACCAAGAAAAGTAATCAACAGTCAGTGTAATTATAGTATGGAATTTTTCTTAACCAACAGTCACAAGATTACATTTGTATGTTCCATGAAAAAAGAGGATCCTGAAAGCTTTACCTGTTATGTATTTTTATGATTTTTTTTTTTAATTTAAAAGTTGAGCCCTTCAAGTTTTTTCTTTTTTTGCCCAGGCGGTGCTCTATAATGATCGTTCAGTTTTGGAGAATCATCACGCAGCTGCTGCATGGAATCTTTTCATGTCCCGGCCAGAGTACAACTTCTTAGTTAACCTTGACCATGTGGAATTTAAGCATTTTCGTTTCCTTGTCATTGAAGCAATTTTGGCCACTGACCTGAAGAAACACTTTGATTTTGTAGCCAAATTTAATGCCAAGGTAACTAGATTTGTACCAGTCTTCATTTTATGACCATATTGAAAGATGTCATGGAACCAGAGTGTGGAACAAAACTTACTGCTTTCACCTCTTATATGTCAAATGTGAAAATGAAATGCAATGAAATGTTTAACCAGAAGCAGATATGTGGGCATTGGTCCCAATCTAGAAATCTAAGAAGTTGAGGTTCTGTCTACATATATTTTATAGTTTGTGGTGCAGAGAAATAAAATTCTCACTGTCATTATGTTTTTTGTTTCATTTAATTAGCTCACTATGGTATATACTAACATAAATTATCTGGCTACTGCCGGATAGGTCAAAACCGGGAAACAAAATTTCATATATCTAACCTAAATGTTAGGTAACATAAATACCTAAATGTTAACTTAAGAAAATTTCTTATCATTTGTAGCTATATTTATTCATGGATAATTGGTAATTATCAATTTTAAATAGCATTTATTTTCAGTTCTATAATTAATAATTTTACCTATCATTTTTAATTTTATTTTTCTGATGAGCTATTTTACTATTATGCAAGCCAATAACATTTTAAATAGCTAAGAAGTTTCTAATTTCTTGGTATTCTGATTTCTACATGTTAAGAAGATAATAAATATGTTGTTTATTCTTTTATACAAATTTTCCTTTCATTGAGGCAAAACATATTTTACCTTTGCCCCTCAAACAGGTGAATGATGATGTTGGAATAGACTGGACCAATGAAAACGATCGTCTACTGGTTTGCCAAATGTGTATAAAGTTGGCTGATATAAATGGGCCAGCTAAATGTAAAGAGCTCCATCTTCAGTGGACAGAGGGTATTGTCAATGAGTTTTATGAACAGGTAACTATTTTAAAAAATTTTTTTAAACATTTTATTTATTTATTCATGAGAGGCACACACAGAGAGAGGCAGAGACATAAGCAGAGAGACAAGCAGGCTACATGCAGGTAGCCCAATGTGGGACTCAATCCCGGGACTCCAGGATCATGCCCTGGGCCAAAGACAGGTGCTCAACTGCTGAGCCACCCACACATCCGGTAACTATTTATCTTAATCCATACTTAGGCTGCTCATAAATTCGCAAAAGCTGTGGAAGTGTGATTGGTCCTTTATATTCACACTAACATCAGAAAACTCAAAATTCAAAGAAAAAGTTATTTGCAAGTATTGCAGGGGGTGGAGGTGGGGGCAGGAGAAGGTGTTGAAATAATGAAATGATGTAGACATTAGGAAGACCATTGACATATTTTTTAAATAAATTTATTATAATAGATGCTCATTTAAATGTATATGGATGACTTACATCAGATTATTTACTCTTAATAGTCAATAATAGCAGCATATGAAAAAACTTTAAAAATAGGCATTTTACTTGACATCATTATGTCAAATCACTGAAAACTCTATCACAAAACATAAGCATGGGGATCCCTGGGTGGTGCAGCGGTTTAGCGCCTGCCTTTGGCCCAGGGCGTGATCCTGGAGACCCCGGATCGAATCCCATGTCGGGCTCCCGGTGCATGGAGCCTGCTTCTCCCTCTGCCTATGTCTCTGCCTCTCTCTCTCTCTCTTTCTCTCTCTCTGTGTGTGACTATCATAAATAAATAAAAATTTTAAAAAAATATATTTTAAAAAAAACCTGTTTTTAAAAAAGAAAAACAAAACAAAACAAAACATAAGCATGCATTCATCTTCCCCATAATTCCCTACACTGATCAGATTATACATGAAACTGAGTACTGTGAACTACTCTCTTAAGAGGAATCCAGAGGTAGTGGAGCATAGATAAAGGACAGGGATCAGTGGCATAAAAGGACATGATGAGGGTCACTGGAAGGGAGATAGATGGGGGGATGGGATAACTGGGTAATGGGCATTAAGGAGGGCACTTGATATAATGAACACTGGGTGTTATATACAACTGATGAATCACTAACTTCTACTCCTGAATCTAATAATACAGTGTATGTTAATTAAATTGAATTTAAATAAAAAAAATTTAAAAGTGAAGGTAATTACCCTGCAGGGAAATGGAGGTGATATAATAACTCTCTTCAGTCACTTTAAAGACTGATACACAAAATTACGACTAAGTGTATCATACATTGTTGCAGAGATTAGAGAAAATAAATTATCACTTAACACAGGATCTAATTTATAAGAAACATTAGATTTCTTTCTGCTTCTCTAAAAATGTTATGAATATAACCACAATATAGAAGTTATAGGGAGATAGATTTCAAGACAATATGAGCAAGAAACTTGTATTATAAAGGCATCCAGAAATAAGATGAGGCGCTTTTTAAAGTAATAAATTGCTTGTCACTGGACATATTTGAAGAAGGATTAGAAAGCTCTTTTGTGAGTTTTATAGACAGGGCTCATACATAGAACAAAGTGTTTGTACTTTCTAGAAAATACTGTATTGCCTTTTCTAGAAATGAGATTAATTCATAATCAATCCTGAAATATTGAAATACAAAAAAAATAGGCGTGCCTGGGTGGCTCATTTGGTTAAACATCTGTTCTTGGCTCAGGTCATGATCCCAGGGTCCTGGGATCCAGCCTTGCATGGGGCTTCCTGCTCAAGGATGAGGCCACTTCTCCCTCTTCCCCTTACCTTGCTTATTGTCTCTGTCTCAACTAAATAAAAATCTTTAAAAAAATAAATTACAAAGCAAAATACAAAAATACAAAAAAAATAAAGGAAAAAGATAACCCATTTATAATAATTATTCTACTACATGGGCATAACCATTGTTGGTATTTCAGTATATTTCCTTTATTAATTTTGCTAGGTGACTGCTGGTTTACATACAGTCTTTTTTTTTTTTTTGGAGAGATTTGATGTAGCTCAAAATAAAAACACTTGCACAGTAGTATTATTAAACATATTGACAAATAGGAGTATCAGAAACCATATAATCACAGAACATATAATTCAACCAAAAGCTAGGATAAGGTAGCACATTTAATTGAGCAATAAATTATTCTAAGCTTTACTTACAGCCAAGGCAAAAGAAAGAAAACATGACTGACAGATTATATATTTGTTTCATAATTATTCCCAGCATTGCATTTTGAAGTGCATTTATACTCTAATAGAACAAGGAGTGACATATGATAAGAAATACCATCTCCCAACACATTAGACCATTTCTTCTATTGCCCCTTAATCAAAAGCCAAAACCTCAAGATCACAAAAGTGATAAAAGACAACAAAGCATTTTTACTGGGATCTTAGTAATTTAGTTAGAATCTTTTAGCAGTCAAGTAAAAGGAGTTCACACATGAATGTCTGGGTTCTTACATAATTGCAAATTTTATGTGCCAAGTGAATGTTGACTTTACTAGTATTTTCAACTTTTCATGTCCTTTATTTTTCTGGTTGACTGTTCATGCTAAATTCCTATTTCTAGGGTGATGAAGAGGCCAGCCTTGGGTTACCAATAAGCCCCTTCATGGACCGTTCTGCCCCTCAGTTGGCCAATCTTCAGGAATCCTTCATCTCTCACATTGTGGGTCCTCTGTGCAATTCCTATGATTCAGCAGGGCTAATGCCAGGGAAATGGGTGGAAGATAGTGATGAGTCAGGAGATACTGATGACCCAGAAGAAGAAGAGGAAGAGGAAGCACCAAATGAAGAGGAAACCTGTGAAAATAATGAATCTCCAAGTAAGTTTTATAAAATCTCTTTCTAGTGTGTTTTTCCTAGGATTTTTTAAACATAAGTTCAGATGAATTTTTTGCTTCTCCTAAATTACATAGTTTGTGTCCACATATAATCTGCATCTGATTGTGAATAACTGACCTTCCCTAATATCATAATAAAAGAAATTATAGACTGTGGAATCCATTATAATACCATGTTCAACAAAGATACAGCCTCAATTATGAAGTAAAAAAAAATTAAATAATTGAAGCCCATTCTTCAGAGTTTCTTAATGATTTAGAGATGAAAGGAATTGGAGATACCATATAGCAACCATAGACTTTTGTTGGCTTAGTTTGAGGGAGGCCTTGTGAAGGAGTAAGAGGTAGTTATTATTCATCTAAGTAACAGACATTTATTAGGCACCTACTTTGTGCCAGGCATCCTTCCAGGTACTGAAGATAGAGCCATGAACAAATCAGACAAAATATAAATATATCCTGCCCTTTTAGGCTTTTTTTCCAGGGGAGTCAGTGGACACTAAGCAAGGCAAATCAGTAAGTCTCTAACTTACTGATAAATGTGAGGTACTGATAAATGCTAAAGTCAAAAAAAAAAAAAAAGGAAGAACGATAGGAAATATTGCAGAGAAAAGTTAAGATTTTAGATCAGGTAGCCATAAATGATTTAAATAAAAAAGAGATTTAAAAAAGAACAGACTGAAAATGGGGGAGTGATCCATGCAAGTACAGGTGGAAAAAGAGAGAGAAAAACAAACCATGTAAAGGTCCTGAGGTGGGCGTTGGCTGGGTATTCAAGAAGCATTGGGGGGGCTAATGTGGCTGAGTTAGAGAAAAGGGGATGAAGAAGCAGCAGGAGAGAGGTGGTGGGGAGCCCAATGATACAGGGTTTGGAGGTGGGGCTCTGCAGTGTGTGGAGTTTGGCTTGCGAGAAGCCATCAGATTTTGGGCAGAAGAGTTAGCTGAGTCAGCTTACATTTTAAATGGATTGCTTCATCTCCTGTATTGAGTTTGGGGTGGGAGCAAGGGTAATAAATTAAGAAGCTGTTGAAATTACCCAAGTGAGAAAGGACTGTGGCTCTGAACCAGACAGAGTGGTGGTATTAGTGACAATGAAAACTGTTTCCATATGGTCATTGATTTGGAGCACATCATGTAGCCAACCTAATCCACTTTAATTTACCTGACTATAAAACAAGATTATTTTCTTCATGTTTTGAAATATTCTCTGTTATATCTCCAGTCACAGGGAGGAGGGTCAAACAGTGAAAATGGTAAAATCCATAACCCTTGTAGTGACATTGCATAAATCCTGTTTTTGTATTCATGAACACATGGTATGCAGTTTACATCTACCTTCATAAAGAAAGTACAGTTGTAATATTTTTTGATAATACCCAAAATATTACCAAAGAAACACATTCTGATTATTTGTTCCTATTTTTTATTTAGCACAGTCAGGAAAATTCATGACTCAGTTCGTCTCGGCCATCCAGTAAATATAGTTTAACATGGGTATTGACCACTTTTGCCCTCATATAAGTACTCTATTGTAAGCTTACAAAACAGAGATAGGGAGAACTTTATTAAGTATAAACTAATGAGGGTTTTGCAAATTTAGTTTTAGGTCAAATTTTTGCCTAAGTTCTATCCTATGTATTAACTTTGGTACAGAATGAGGGGAAAGGCAAAAAATTATTTCCCTTCAATATTCTATTATTGAAGTAATTATATTTTGTTTCTCTGGTGCTTATAAAAAGGTTTCCATTAGCAGTTTGGGGCTAATCTTGAGATTCAGAGGCTGGAACCAAGACTGGGATTCATGGCTTGTTTTTTCACTTGTTCATTTAATAAACATTCATTGGTTTTCTTTATTTCATTTCATTTCATTTCAAAGAGTTAGTAGTTTGCTGTCTAAGGACAGGACAGTTTTTTGTTTTGTTTTGTTTTTGTTTTTTCACTGAGTGACATTAGAAAGTGTTGTCGGCTTAGCCTCTTGGAAGAGCTTTGTTCCCATGGGCCCTCACTGATTGCTATTTGAACTCAAACACAGTGAAAAAAACACACATATAATACAGGCATCAAGAATTGAAGAACACGGGCCAGGAGATTTAACAGGCTCAACTTGTCAACGTTGGATTTAGTAGCAAACGCCACAACCAGATATTCAATTACTTTTCCGTTCTGTAGGGTTCATTCGCCATCCTGACTTCCAGATTATGATGTGTTGCTCTCCAAACCCAGCTCTCCAAACTCCACTGCTGTAGAATCCTAGTAATTTTAATTTCATAATCATATTGACTGAGATGGTTAACTTGATTTTGCCTGAAACTTAGATTTCAGGAGAAAAAATTTAGATTAAATATGCACTGATAATTTCACCAATTTGCAAAACTTGGAGATCTCCCAGGAAACACAAAATTAAATGTTTCAATATGGTATCCTAGGGAAAGAAGGCTTTTTCCCAACCTCATAATTAAATCCGAAAGATTCCTACAGCGAACTAAGAGGTTTCTAATGAAGTACTAAGCTGCATTTAGAATTTGAGCAATGAAAGGCTCTTTGTTCTCATTTCAAAAGGTTTCAGAGCTAAACAATTTGGCTCCCCATACAGGCATGTTTTAGACCACCTGCAGACTCTAATCTACGCACATTTATTTGGTACAAACTTTCTTCTACGTCACCTTATTCAGTTTAATTCCAGAGAGGTTTATTGCTAACGTTTAACAGCATTAATAAGAGAACAGCTGTTCTCATGGGGGCTGCCCTGAAAGGACCAGGAGAAAAATTGAGCTTTTGTTACCTCTTCCTTATGAATACACTGCCATGAATGTGTGTAACTTTCAGATGGACTAATCACCTTGAGCAGTAGGTTTCTTCTGTCACTGTCATTCAAATCTGTCCTTCAGCCAATGTTCATCTGTAACTCTTGATTCAAAGGAATAGGTTAATGAGTATATTAACATTTAACAATTTCTCAACAGAAGCTGATTTGTACTTAACTACAATAAAAACAAAGTGGGAATAGACAAGTAGGTGGCTTTGGTAGAAGAGTAATTTTATAAATGTGCTTTTAAAAATTTACTGTAGGGGTGCCTGGGTGGCTCAGTTGGTTGAGCATCTGACTCTTGATTTTGGGTCGTGATCTTAGAGTCATGAAATTGAGCCCCAATTATCTCTCTCCTGCCACTCCTTCCCTCTCTCTAATAAAAAATCTAATTTAGTAGTATTATTTTTATTCATTTTTATAGAACTAATTCAGATTTCTTTAAATTTAGTGTATGCATTTGTGTGTCTGTGTGTACCCTTATTAAGAAACTTTCAAATGAAATTGATGTCATGCTCCAGAGCCCCATAACCTGCTTGTATGCATGCCCCTCATTCTGCCTAGAATGCTGCCCATACCTTCTTCACCCAGCGTATTGAATTCTTGAAATTTACATCACACCTCAGGTGTCCTGTTCTTTGAAAAAAAATTTTACCTATTCCCTCGCAGGTTGAGTCCTAGGTGTTGCCATGGTTTGATGTGTCAGAGAGAAATTGCACTGCACACTTATTAAGAACATCAAGGAAGACTTTATTCAAGATTATTGCAATAACGGAGAGAGATTAAACTACATTGAAACTAAGGCAGGAGAATTTTTTTTAAAAAAAGATTTTATTTATTTATTCATAAGAGACAGATAAAGAGGCAGAGACATAGGCAGAGGGAGAAGCAGGCTACTCACAGGGAGCCCAATGCAGGACTCGATCCCGGAACCCTGGGATCATGCCCAGAACCAAAGATAGACACTCATCCGCTGAGTCACCCAGGCGTCCCATAAGACAGGAGAATTTTTAAGTACTAGCATGAGCTAGTAAAAAAGTACTGGAAGACCTTGGAGGGAAGTTGGTCTATGTGATTGAGCCACCTGTGTTTGCTAATTGGTACCTATTGAAGTTGAACACTTATCCTCCCATAAAAACGGGAAGTTAGGGACCCTGTTTTTCTCTCTATGATTTCATTTCAAAAGAATCACACCCAGGCACTTGAGAAAGATGTTCCTGGGTTGTGAAACTGGCCAGAAGCTGGGAGAAGATTTATCTATATTACAAAGAAGCAGAGAAGGTATTTGTACTTTCAACTTTTATAAAGTAAATGCTATAAGAAAAGGGAAGTCAGAGACCTATAATCTGAAAGAAACCAGTAAAGTTTAGTCAATTTATGGGAAACATTAAGACCATCTTGATCACATGTGTACGTCTCTCCTAAAACACAGCATGTGTTTTTCATTTTTTGTCTTCTTTGCTCTCTCCCCAAGAAACTATAAGCTCCTTTATGGCAAGCTCTTGGACTAATTGGTCTTTGTGTCCATACCATCCATAATATTGCTTGTCAATTAATAGGTGGTTAATATAAGTTTGATTGATGGATTTATCTCATAAGTAAAATAATGAATACAGTAAGTTGTTTTTTAAGTTTTTGCTTATAACTCTGCCTGTATCCATTCCCCCTGGCATTTGTTCAACTTAATAATTTTGTTATGTGTCTGTGTGGCTTAAAAGTAATTCATGATAATTTAATTTAATGTTCTTTTTTGAATCTTGTTTTAAAATTGATCTTATCCTGTAAAATGTAAGAAATTTTTGTGGTATAATATAATAAAATTGTTGAAGAAATCACTGGTACTTCCATAAAAACTTTGGTTGATGGTCTCCAAGAGATCTAGTTCCTTTGGCACATCTCGTAGCAAATGGATTTTTTTCCTATTATTACCTTTTTTTCTTCTTTTTTCCACCCACATTATACATTGTTAATCATTGCTACTTCATTAAGTAGACCCAGATATCCCTGCTGACCATCCTGGTAACTTGTATTATTAACTCTTTAATGTAGTCTCAATTAGATCAGAATATCCTGTGGACCACTTTTTCACATCTTTGTCATTTTTATGACATATCAACACTTTATCACTTAACTTGGAACCATGGCACTAGAAACTAGAGAGAACATGATTTGTCTAGTTAACTCTTACTGAATACTTACTAAAATCTGGAGCTTTTTGAATATACACAGAAAAGGAGCAACAGGTTTCATTCCATAGGGAAGTTTAAGTGATGTTAGCCTACATTCTAAATTATTAGCCTGAGTCTAATAATGGCCACTCAAGTAAACATCCTAAGAGTTATTATCTGGCTGCAAATAGACCCTCTTCTAAGCTCAATATCAGCTGCCTACTTTACCCCTGCACTTGAAGGTCTCCCAGATATTTCATGTTCAGCATCCCTCTCAAATCTCCTCACCTAACGTTTCCGTCTCAGTACGTCTTAATATCAGCTACTCAGTGGCTCTGGCCATACAGCTATAGAGCTTAGGGTTGTTGGGTGAGTTTTTTTTTTTTCCTTTTTAAAAAAAAATTAGTTTCAGAGGTAGAATTTAGTGATTCATCACTTGCGTGTAACACCCAGTGCTCATTATATCATGTGCCCTCCTTCATGCCTGTCACCCAGCTACCCCATCCCCCCACCTATCTCCCCTCCAGCAACCCTGGCAGTTTTGTTTCCTAGAGTTCAGCATCTCTTACAGTTTGCCTCCCTCTGTTTTTATCTTATTTTATTTTTCCTTACCTTCCCCTATATTCATCTGTTTGTTTCTTGAATTCCACGTATGAGTGAAATCATATATTTGTCTTTCTCTAACTGACTTATTTTGCTTAGTATAATACCCTCTAGTTCCATCCACATTGTTTCAAATGGCAAGATTTCATTCATTTTGATGACTGAGTGGTATTCCATTGTACATATATGTATTACACCTTCTTTATCTATTTATCTGTTGATTGACATCTGGACATTTTCCACATTTTGAATAGTGTTGAAATTGCTGCTATAAACATTGGGGTACATATGCCCCTTTGAATTACGATGTTTGTATTTTTTGGATAAATACTTAGTGCAATTGCTGGGTCGTAGGGTACCTCTATTTTTAACTTTTTTCCCTACATCTAATCAACTGCCAAATTGTTGATTAAACTTCACAAGTGTGTCTCAAATTTATCTACTTCTCTTCATTTCTGTTAACTTCGCCCTAGTCCAAGCCACTATCATCATGCTGTATCCTTCTCAGCTGAGTCCTTTTTCTCTCTTTCTGCCACCTTTAAAAGATTTTATAAGACTCAGGGTGATTGCACCTGCTTTTTTATTCTCTCCCCACTGGAGTAAAAGTTCCATGCTTATGTATCTCAGTAAATGACCAGAACCTGGCATATTTGGTACATATTAGGTGCTTAGAGAATAGGTAAGGAGGTGGAAGACCAAATAGTGAATTGAATAGTATCAATTCAAATTCTTTAAAATATCCTCTATTTCTTTTGTTGAAATTGATTTTATTATACTTTACCAACCAAGAGATGTGATTCTGTGAAAACTGGCTTTAGTATTTCTGTGTTGAAACATGAAATGTTTTGGTCACCAAGGCAGTGTAATTTATTTACTTATTAATATGCATATTTGTTGAGCTTCACTCTGTATAAGATGTGTACAAGTCTTTGGAAGGCTCCCTAGAAGAAACTGTAGTCTAGTAGAGAGGCTAATGCCTAGCATATGTGAGAACAATATAAGTGCCTAAAGGATGAACATTATTGAGGACATTGTTATTTGTTACAAGTTACAAGACTCTTATCAAGTGAACATATACAAAAGGGAAAATGATTTGTTCAGGTAAACCTAATGTTGTCTAGTATCTTACTTGTACCTGCCCTTGTCTCTGAGTCTGCTCTTGTCTCTGAGTCACCTGCCTTACATCTGCTTACTTGTCACCTGGTCTTGCCTCTGGGTCACCTACCTGACAGCTTGATCTTCAGTCTCGTTTTCTTCATGAGACTGGAACTATATGTTCCCTACCTTCCAGATAAATAAACAAGCTAGAGGAGAAAAGATCCCCAATCGCCATTCTCTGACTCATTCTCATTCTGTGTCATTGGGAGAAATCCCAGAGAAGGATACTAACTGACCAGATTTGGGTCACATATGTACCCACTGATCAACCACTGCAACATGGCTATGTTCTCAGAAGGTGGGGGGTGGGTGTGGGAAATAGTTAGTCAATGTTTTCTGGAACCACATAATTGAAAGAAGGGATGAGAGTTTCCACTAAATGATTTTTGGCTATACAGTTATCAGAAAAAAGAGGTAATGATAATGAGAAAAGAAAAAAAATAAAAACAATGTATACTCTGAGAAGTATATATGGAGTGAAGTGAAAGTTTAGAAGAAGGAGGGGAAAAGGTTATTTCTTAGAGGAGGAATTCAGTGACATCTGATTGAATCTTAATAAATGGGCATGAGCTTTCAGTGACTAAGAAGAACATTTGAGAAGGAGGGGCAGTACCAGCTTGAAAGTAGCAGAGTTCAGTTTGTATACAGAAAAGAGATGGTGAAGTAGAGACAGAAGCCAGGCCGTAGAAGAAAGAAGACTGCCAAAGTGTGTGTGTGCCAGCTTGTGGGAGAACTTTGAGAGGAGTTTGAAATTAATGACTTGGTCTACGGGAAGTAGAACAATAACACTGAGACCATCTTTAAAGAAATGAGTCTTATAGATTTATGTGAGTTTAATTAGTTGACCAAGTAAAGGAGAAGACACAACAAGAAGTTTTTCCAGTAGTCTAGGTGAACAATCTTGAAGATCTGAATGTATTGCAAATAATACCAAGATGCAAACAGAACTTTGTATTGGGAATTACTGAATATTAAATCCTGTTCACAGTACATCTCAATGGTATATGAACGGTTATTGCCATCTTCCATTTAATTTCCCCACTCTCGAAAACAGCATGTTTATGATAAGCCAAGTGGAATGTATATCTACTTGGACCTTAGCTCCTATTAATAATGTAAAAAGAAATAACTCAGCACACAAATAAGTGATTTGGTGTTTTCTCAGGAAAGAAAACTTTCAAAAGGAGGAAAATCTACTGCCAAATAACTCAGCACCTCCTGCAGAACCACAAGATGTGGAAGAAAGTCATTGAAGAAGAACAGCGGTTGGCGGGCATAGAGAATCAGTCTCTGGACCAGTCCCTCCAGCAGCATTCCTCAGAACAGATCCAGGCCATCAGGGAAGAAGAGGAGGAGAAAGGGAAGCCGAGAGGAGAGGAGATCCCGACCCCACAGCAAAACCAGTGACAATGGATACAATGAGCTGTGTTTCCTAACAGAGTGACTTGTCACAGACTCTTTTCAAGCCAGCACAACACTTAGACACAACACTGTAGAAATACGAGAAGATGGGCAAACAGCTATTGCATTTTGGGATTCTTCGCATTTTATGTGTTTATTTTTACAGTGAGGTACATTGTTAAAAACTCTTGCTCAGAGAAGCTTTCACATTTGCAACACCAGCTTCTAAGGATTTTTTTAAGGAAGAAATATATATGTGTGTGTGTATATAAGCTCGCACGTAGATACATGTAAAACATATTCACACATATACACGCACACACACATGCACACTGAAAGCCAGGGTTACTGGCTCCACAATTTAGTAACATTCATATTAAGATATATAGTGGTCACTGTGATATAATAAGTTATAAAGGAAAACAAATCACAAAGGAAATGGGCGGCTTAGCAGGGAAACAGTGCAGTGAATGTAGGTTACCAGCTAAGGAGCTTTAGCTCTTAGTACTGATGGATGAAAGTTCCAGAGCATTATTTGAATTTTTATACATCCTGCCAACATCGTGTGTGTGTGTGTGTGTGTGTGTGTGTGTGTGTGTGTGTGTGTGTGAGAGAGAGAGAGAGAGAGAGAGAGAGAAGAGTGAAAGGGTGCTTGTGTGTATGTGTGTACGTAAAGAGATTTTTATGGTTTTAGTAGTTCATAGAATAGCTGCAGCAGATGACTCAGAACATCTGAACAAGCAGAAGGCGGTTCACTCTGGAGTGTCTGAGAGGCAGCCATTCCAAATTCCTTCCTCCACGTAGCTTCAGGACAGGTCCCTCTGTAGAGGGAGGGTGTTCACAGGCTGGTGAGAGGGCCACGTGATTGGTACTACTGCTAATGCACCACTTGGAGGAGCTCTATCGCCAGCCTTAAACCTGGAAGACAGGCATTTTCCAATCTACTTGCCTAATGAATGTATAGGAGCTGTTTGTCTGTGAGTATGTCACTCACCTAAGATCAAATCAGCTTTTCAAGGGGATGACATTCTTTATACATAAACACCTAAGAAGGAGCTGGAGTCAGATCTTTTAATTAGGTTAGAATTCTAAAAAGTTGCCGGCGAAGACCCGGGGATCTCCCATGTCTCAATTTGCTGCAAAATGTGTGGCAGAAAAAGAAAAAAAGAGAGAGAGAAAGACAAACAGAAACCCACTATGGAAGGATATATAGCGAGAGATGAAGGGGAATAATTTCAACCTGGGAGTTTGGTGTTTGTTGACATAGTGAAAGCCTGATTCTTGGCAACTGTTGACCATTGGCTTTGGGTGGCAAAGGTCCCATTGAGTGCCCTGTTGTGGTGTCCCCTTGCTGGGGTGGGGTAGCTTCTATCTGCAGTCTGGCCCATTGTCATGTTTCTTTTGGCAGGGAAGATTATAGAGGGATTTTAGGGGACTGGGCCAATTATTGAAAGTCTTTTTTTTTTTTTTAATTTGTTTGTTTATCTACACTTGTTTATGCTGTGAGCCAAACCTCTATTTAAAAAGTTGATACTCACTTTCAATATTTTATTTCATATTATTATATTTGTCATGAATAGTTATCTTGATGTAAATATAAAGATTTTTTTTTGTTTCTGTAGATAGTAAACTCTTTTTTTAAAAAAAAAGGGAAAAGGGAAACATTTTTATAAAGTTATATTTTAATCACCATTTTTATACATTGTATGTATCTCCAAGCCCAGTTAAGAGAGTGATGATTCATTTGCACGGAGGGCTATGGACAGCCACTTATCTACCTATTCTAATTTAAATAATGATCTGATACAGTTATTTTATTGCCTATTAAATGAGGATGCCACAAAAAATGTTTTTTCACTAGGAACATTTCTTAACTTTTGGGTAACTTTTGGGTCCATGTCTCCCGAAGAGAAAGACTTCCCTAACAATACTGAATTTCTACGATTGGTGTCCATTTTTTGCCAACACTTTTTTGGTCATAATTCCTCCTTCAATTCTATGTATGGAACTGCTCATCAGTGAAACAGTCATAGGTTCTAATTAGACCTTAATGGTGATTTCTAGTTTTTATTTCTTCTAAAGTCATAGAAAAGAGTGTTTACATCTTAAAGAGGCCTTTGTTTCTCATAAGTGAAAATTCTTCCCTCCCAAAACAATGATTTTTATGTTAACCCCGTAGCATTTTTCTAACAAGGCAAAAATAATATGATAAAAAGTAATTGTAAGACAAATTTCCCATTAAGTAGGAAAATATGGAAAGATTCAAATAGATGCAGACTTGACTTAAATAATGAGAATAATTTCATACATTTTGGCTTAACACTAGGTCTTCATTATTCAGGATGTACTGAGTTGTTTTCCATTTTCTTAGTGTTGTCTATGTGTCTCATGTTTGCAAAAATTACTGTGGGTCAAATACATTTATTTCCTCAGTGACTTTAACTGTTCTTCTGCCCTTGCAAATAAGAGAGGAGGGGGAAATATTATCCTCACATACCTCTTACATTTAATTACTTAACAAAATGAATCTTTTTCCTTTCTCCAAATGCCATATATATCTAAAACACATGTTAAGTCAAGGAAAATATAGGTGTGGGCAAGTAGAATGGCAGTCGAACAGTTGAGAGTCTATAACCATACACTGGCAGCTTCCTCAAAGCTGGAAGGCCCCAAGTAGGGGCCAGCCTGGCTGCCGGAGTAGAGGTCTTAGCAAACTGCCTGGTTTTGTTTATTTTGTTTTAAGTGGTGGTGGCCAAGGCACTTAGAACCTCTTCATTCCAGAATTGTGTTGATCAGTCCAGGCAAATTAACAATTTTTTCTTCAAAAATTAATTGCCAGTATAAATAAAGCTAAAAGTCCATCGCAGTAAAGGAATGGACATCAAATATGAGGCTTTCATACACGTTCATCACATCCCAAAGGATGCCTAGGGATATAAAAAAATATTTCCCACTGGTGATGTTCTCCCCTGCCTTGGTGACAGCAATATTACTGTGCTCACTCCCAACTCTGGAGCTTATTTATTGCAATTTACTACATTTTTATGTGAGCCTATATATAGGTGCCATTGGATAAACTCAGGTCTTTCAAGTGAAGGAATTTCTAGCCCATTTAGGAAAAAGGATATTTGTATAGACAGCCATAAATCAATGGGAGGAAAATTTGGAATTGATGACCTTGATGCTAGGGGTTACTTTCTGTTAAGGAAAAGTCCAGGTATCCTACAAGTATCATCTGCGTTGTTTCCAGCATACTAATAGAATGTCTTTTCAGTTATCCATCTAGGCCAACTTTTAGAGATTGTTTCCTTGGTGAAAAGACCACTTTAGGTTTTTTCTAAGTGATAAAATTGTATTTTTTGTCAATTATATAAGATGTGGTTTTGCTCTCCATAGAAGATGAAGACAGTAGCTCTGATAGACCTATGTTGGTCTTCATCTGGCAAATGAAGGAATGTCCTCATTTTTAAGAAAATACTCATTTTCTGAAAACAGAATACCCAATTCTCTATTCCATTTTGATGGAATTCCAGAACAAACCCTCGCCGTCACAATCCCAGTAAAACTAAAGAAAAGGGATTGTAGGACATGCAGACTGTCGATATTACATATATGTATTGTGGTTTCCTCATGTCCCCTGCCTCTCTTGATTTGCGGTTTTCCGATGTCCCCTGTCACGTGCCCAGAGAACTTTCATTGAAGGTAAAAGCTGTGCAAAAGGCATGAGACTCAGGCCTATTCTTTGTTTAAATGGTGGAAAATATAAATTATTTTCTAAATAATAAAGATATGAAAATTATCATTGTAAATAAAGTCTACAGTTTGAAATGACTGCTTTATAAAAGTGAACTATTTGTGTGATGAACAACTCCTGACTAATGAGAAGTGAATAATCAAAAACTCATTTCTATCCTACTCTAGCAGGTATTTTTGGTGCTTCTCTGTCAATATGGGATGTCCATTCTCCTCGCCTTTTAAGCTAGTTCTAAAATCAGAATGAAAACCACAGTAAGGATCTTCCTATCGTCTCTTCCATCCTAATCCTGTGTCCACTTGAGTCCTTTGCTGGCTTACATGCCACTTTGGAAATAGTGTCTTTTCAAACTGACAGAAAGTTCCAGTAAAACAGTTTTATAAACTTTCGTAATCTGGGGTAAATCAAGATTCTCCTTATTCTAGAGTTTATCACCTCCTGCAAGTGGAAAGAAAATATCAATAAAATTTCAAATGCTGATCGCTCAACTCCAGACTATTGAGAGCTAAAATATCTGTATACTTTGAAACCAAACTGAGTTTCTTTCATTTGCCTACCCTCTTGACAAACAACAAAATACTTTATGATCATTGTTCTAGGTCATTCATTTCTCTCATGATTTTTCTGTGAAAGAAAACTGAATTCTGTGAAAGAAAAACTGAATTGGTCTGTGTTTCTAATCTGTTCAACAGAATTCTACATTAAGATCAGGAGGCCAATTAGCCATTTTCAATGAGCATTTCAAAATTAAATTACTCTTAGGACTTCTAATCAGAGCAAACTATGCAAGTTTTAGATCCAATATTCATATCAGTTTTGTTTCTCTAGAAAATATTTAAATACTGCAAATTTGGATAAATTAACGACTATAGCATTGAGTTAATGAAATTAACAGTGCATTGAATAACTTAAATGGTATTTATCATGTTTAACACTGATGATCCATGGTCAGAGAATAAGTAGAGGTGTTTCAGTCTACATTGTGCACCATGGCTGTCAGGAAATTTGTGTATCTCCAACACATTTCATTTTTTAAAATGAGGCTGCTTTTACCTTACCTAAATATTTGGTGCTTTTGCCTCACCAGAAATGATCTTTATGTTCATACCATGAAATTATTCTAACAGCAGGTTAACAAGTGGTGACAAAACATAATTGGGCATTTTGTTCTTAAATATGTCTAAAGATCCAAAACTGAGCATTAAAGCTTTATTATTTGGTGGAACTCAGTGTTCACTGAGTTTGGATCAGATTCAAAAATACTGATCCAGCATAAATTATTTAAGTGCAGTAAGACTAGAAACTACATGGAAATATAGATGGAAAATAAAATTAGTTTTTTGTATATGCTTCAGGTTCTAAAAAGAGGCCAGATGTTCTATCTAAGGGCAGCTAGTTCTTCTCCATATTATACTTCTATGGTTGATTGCCTTGATAGGCATTGGTATTCATCAATTTTTGCTTCCCTGAGGAGTGGTGGCGCACAGAAGACAAGCCAAGCCTCCTCATTTCTGATAAGAAATCCTGAACATGTCCCTGTTCAGAAAGGTTTCTTCATTGCTTCACATCAATAAGTGGTTGTTTGATCATGCAAATAATTCAGTAAAAAAATGCTTCAAAGAGAGTCCTATTAAATCATCATATGTGAGTACTATCAAGAACATTTGAATTTAATTTTTGAACCAAAGCTGTTGAAAATATTGTTTTTTTTTAATTTATTTATTTATTCATGAGAGACAGAGAGAGAGGCAGAAACACAGGCAGAGGGAGAAGCAGGCTCCATGCAGGGAGCCTGACATGGGACTCGATCCCAGGGTCTCCAGGATCATGCCCTGGGCTGAAGGCAGAGCTAAACCGCTGAGCCACCCGGGCTGCCCTATTGGTTTTTTTTCTTAACTAAAACAAAACTCATGAAATGACACTCATGGTATAGCGATACTAAATATATGGATATAATCAGAACCAGTATTGTGTAACAGAAAACTGAAAGGGGTATTTAATTCTTTTTCTAAAGTATGTCATGCCTCAGGGAGGAAAATGCTTTATGGAGGTCCCAAGAAATATGAATAGATAAAAATAAATTTAGTCCCTATAATTTAATTAGATTAAGTATACAAATTACAGCCTTAGTTTTTCTGTTTTTTTTTTCCAAGAAAAAGGAATTTATTATTCAGCAGTTTATTATGGATTAGAGTTGTTTTAAAATAAGTGGTCTATTAATGTAGATTATATTCTTCTGAATTCTAATACAGTTAAAAAGCCAAATACTTATCTTCATTATTAAGTAAAATTAAATCTCATTAATCTTGACTTTCACAGATGAAGCACAGACCAGACAATAAACCACACTACTACATCTACCAAGACTGATCAAATGGTAGGTTGAAATTTGGAATTCATTAATAGAAAAATAATTTTAAAAAATTAAAACCTTACTGTTTTAACTAAAATTTCAGTATTAGTAAAATTACTTCTTTTAAATGAAACAAATTATAGCCGGGAATTTTTTCTTTTAAATAAAAAAAAACAAATGAAGTCAAACTCACAGGAGAAAAGTGGGGACTTCCCGTCAATGTTACTTATCTAACTCAAAATAGGAAAGCAAAAGTAATCAGAAATTTTCCTCTATCATAATAAGAAGAAAGAATGACTTTCACCCCAAGTTCTAACTCACACCTAGTTTCATTATGCAGCCTATGGTACTAAATAGCAAAAAAACAAACAAACAAAAAAAAAAAAAACAGAGCTACAGATTGGAAATGAACAGTGCTTAAAATGTGTAGGATCACCATGAGACACCCCTCCATCTTTGTGACAAAGCCAATTTAGTTATCAGTTACTCTGGAGTAAAGGGACATAATGGATCCATATTTCAACCCTGACTTGCTATATTACAGTCAGCACTTACACATGCTTTAGAATGTGAATTAGCCTTTGGAGCTTTGAAACTGCTGCTTAAGTACCTTTTGAAGGGAATTTTTTTTATTCTAGTAATTTTACTCCCTATATTATAGCAAAATTTTGGGTGTTTTAATGTGAAATTAAAAGTAATTGTTTAAAGATGTTTTATTTGTATATATAATTTGTTGGTTGTTAGAATTTTCCATCAACTTTCTTTTAAAAATTAACTGATTATTTTTATGGCTCAAATAACTCTTATCACATACTTTGTTTCTGCTAGTTATAAGCATAAACCAGTACTATAGTCTTGCTATCTTTAAATAATAACCACAATATGTCTATATATTACCTGTTAGTGAGGTCTATTGGCTTGACTTTTAGTATATATTTTTGTTCACTAGGTTTTTTTTAAATCACTACTTTTAATGCTCTGTGAAATATTTGCATGGGATTTTTACCATATTATTTTTGCTTAACTGCTCGTTTTGTTTTGTTTTTGCTTTCTATTTATGAGTGTCAGTTTATTTCTTGACATATCCTCACAGAAGTACACATACCATATTTGTTCCAACAAGGACGATTTGTTAGTTGATGAGCACTGGAAATAAATATTACTGAACCCACCCCTGATATTTCTTCCCAAAGAGTTTTATCATGTAAATCACAAAATGAAAATTGGTGCTTTTAAATATTCTAAAACTTTCAGTGCAAAATAATAAAAATAAGCTTCTCCCTGGCTTTCCATAATGTTATTAGTGTATACAACTGAAAAAATTTTGATTTGAATCTAGGCTATTTGAAGTTTGGGTTGATTTGGTTAATTTGATTTGGTTTTTGGTATTAAAATGGGTTTCTTATTCCTGATGGAACAGTTCTGATTGTCATTATTTCTTCCTTTTCCTGACCAAAAAACTCAAAAAGCAAAAAAACTGTCATCAGAAAGTTTAAATTAGCATGTCCCTAATATTTGCCTTTGTAGGGTACTTGCAAACCAGAGTACTAACTTAATTTAGTATTCCTAAAAAGCAATATTTTCAAGAAGTACCAACCAAAGTAACAGTATAGGGGATGTCATTTACCCATGACAGGTTCTAGCAAGGTAATTCTTACCACTCTCAACTGAATGTTTATTATTAACTCTCCAAGTGTATCAACTTTTAGAAACCCAAGAGTAAAGCATTGGAACCTAAGTGATCAATTGCAACTGAAATAAATCTTATCCTTTCACCTGTACCTTGCACTTAATATATGTAGCAATACTTCATATCTTCCTATCATAATTGTTTAAATGATTTAGTTAATGGTTGATAAATATTTTGTAAAAAGTAAAATCTGTACAGGAAAAAATATTAGATAAATTGTATTTATTTTTATTATTTTTCAGCTTAGACACTATAATGATGCTCTTTTTTTTTTGCCAGAATTACTGGAAGTGCCTCTTGATTTTATAGATTTTATACATATATATATGTGTATGTATGTATATATATATATACATACACATATATAATTACATATATATTATATATAAAATATAGTAAATATATACTCAAAATCATTAGAATTGTGTCACAAATCATCAGTGTGAATGTTATTATCTAAAGATAACATATAATATAATTCTATGATATTATGTTTGATGTAGTTATTTGTATAATCCAAGTCCTCCATCCAGTTTTAAAGACATCCTTCCTCTTATTTTCAAATACAGTAGCTTGTGCCTAGATTCTGCATGATGTAGTGAGGCATCCATTGGCCTCTCTCTAATTCCTAAGGACTCTTGGGGGCTTCTATTCCCTTCCCTGTCACTGATGAATTCTTAGCTGTGTTAATCATCATCTCTCTGTAGCTAAGCTGTGTTTTTTCTCTAGCCAAATAGTCAACACTATAACCAAGATCCTTAGATTTCTGGTATTCAGTTTCATAGTCCTATAAAATAAACAGTTCTGCTCTTTATCCTATAAATACTACAATTTATTCTATAAAGATTGTTGAAGCCCAAAACATGGGATATTTGGTTGTAAAGACTCAGAATTATTTTTGTTCAGTGTATTTGCTTTTTTTGTTGTTGTTCTGCGTATTTGAAAGCTTTCAAAAACTTTGAATGATTCAAGATACAGTGTTTTAATTAACTCAAATATATAGTCCTCAGAAACAAAAGCAAAATGTGATTTCTA